TCGAGTCAACCAAGATCTAGCAGGACTCTGTGGAAGTTTGGGAGGTATTGATGTTCCAGTTATAAAAATAGAAGACCTTACTCCAGAGATACAAATACAAATTGCTCAGTTGATTGAAACTGAAAGTGAACTTGGCAGCATCGAACAGTCCTTGATTGATGTTATTAATGAAGGTGGTAAAGATAACAAGCATCAGCAGCTTCCTTCAGGAGACCAGCAGGTAAATATGAATTCTGAGCTTTGTGTGATATCTGATTTATATAGATGTAGATTGTGTCTAACCAATAATAGCGATTTGCTGTACAGAGACAAAATTAATATCCCAATTAAAACAATATTCGCTATTTGGACTCTGAAAGGGATTCAGAGTTGACCAATTGCAGAGTGGCATCTGGTGTTCTGCAAGGGTGAGCATATCTTGCCCAGCAACACCGGCTACGAAAGTTCTTTTTATTGGAGCTGAAATTCAATAAAGTCTTTTGAGCTTAAAGCTAGCAAAGATTTTTTCTATATTAAGCGTAACCATTCTGCATATACAATTTTTAAACCATTGTATTTATTGTGAAGACTCATCTTTCACCTTTCCTTTTTAGGTTATTGTAAATACAATATCATCATCATCCATTGTCAAAGCTGAACCAACTGATAAAACTAACAAAGAAGAAACAAAGGACTTTTCAGTCCAAGAGATTCACGTTCCATGTACAACAAATGCTGATACTAATTCCAGGTCTCGGCATCCCACTCAGGATTCAACCACTAGTCAGAACACAACCCATTCTAGTCCCGCTACCACATCTATAACTAATATAGCTAGCTCAACACCATCCACAGACTCAACACCTCAACAAAATTTCATGTCCAATCCTTACTTCCCAGGAGCGTATCCATTCGGATACATGCCACCCGGTTACAATCCTTATCACCCCATGTCCATGCCATTTCCTAATCAGTTTCATCCACAGTTTAATCAGGCATTTAATATGTTTCCAATGAGAAATCAGACTCCTCCACTTGGACCAGAAAACATGGGATCTTCAGTCTCTTCTAATATGGATCCAGCCCAATCTGATAAAGGACCCATGCCACCAATGAACCCCTTTTGCCAATTTCCAAATTTCAACCCAATGACTCCACCAAATTGTCCACCCTTTAGAATGGGAAATCCTTCAGCTTCTACCTCAGTTGCAAAGAAATTCACCAGTCAAGCCTCATCACCCATAGCCTTTGATGAAGGTAAAGTGCCTAAGATTGGTTTGCAGGCTCAAGAAAATTCAGTTCTAAAGACAGTTCTACAGATAGGTTTAAAGGAGGAAGACCTACACAAGGAGCTGACAGAGATAGACACTGAAACTGGTGAATTATATCAAGTTTTACAGGACACTTTTCAGAAACTCAAAGATTGTCATGATAGAAAACAAAGGGTAAGTATCATTTGGACTATTGGTAACTTTCATAGGAGTCACAGTGAAGCCATCTTTAGTTTATTAACCCTACTTTTACTGGACTGGGACATAATGATGTTAAAGCTGGAGATAATTCTGGATTAAAGCTGTCATCAAATTTTTGTCCCCAGACACTGAAACTTGCTTCTGGCGGTTATGAAAGGAGGGTAAAATTCATTTCAAATCAATTTGATTATATTTGGGAATAAAAACATCATTTCATTGGGGACCATTGTTTGTATGCCAATGATTTTGTATGTTCCAGATAGAAGCAAAGAGATTGAGGATGAAGGAAAGAAGGATGCATGTTCTGAAAGGTAAGTTAAGCTTCTAGATAGACATTTCTACATCATTAATGGTGTTTTAAATGATGTTACAGCAGATGCTGTGGCTTGCTCGCTAGCTTGAAGTTCCAGGGTTTAATTCAGACATAGGTTGATATATGTATATCTTAATCCAGTTTCCCTTGTCAGTGATACTTATATAATTCTTTTCAGAATTTCTCATCACACTGCATGGCAATGGTCGCTTTTATTATGTAAAACTCTATTTCATTTTAGTTCATTGTCCACAGGATTTTCCATTCCTGTTAAAAATTCTTATAATTGATGTCTATTTTAGGATGTGTTGATAAAGATGTCAAAGGAAGTTCTGCATCAACTTCCAGAATAACTGTATCAACAGATTGTTCCTCTGAAGATGATGTAACCATTACTGCTACAGAACTGTCTCAGGACAGGATCACCAAAATAGAGCCAGACACCTCTGTTATATCTCCAATACCTTCAATGGTTCATGGTGACTCGAGGGGGAGCATGTTGACCAATTCTGTAGATCTGAAATCTCAAGCAGAAACCTTAAAAAATCAAGGATATTCATCACAAAATTCCAGCATTTCCTTGAATTCTCCACAGACAGATTCTCAGACGTCTGTCATGGCTGAATCTACAGATTCGTGTGAGTCCTTAGATGAAGTCATTGTAGAGTCAGATTGTTCAACTGAAGATGAAACCACTGGTATCATTAAGGTTATGGATAACTCTTCAGAAGATACTGCAATGGAGGTCATTAAACAAGAGTCCAGTGAACAAATAAGTGAGATGGTAGTAGATCGACCATCCAAAGAGGCATCACAATCAAGAATCTCTGGATCTGGGAGTGAATCTGTCATCAACTTAGATTCATCATATGAGTCTCAACCAGAAAATATTATGAAAGCAGAAACTGTGGATTCTAGCAGCTCCAACAACAATCTTAAGTTAGAGTCGCCTACTCCAAGTACCACTGTAATTCCAAATATTGAAAGAGGACTGTTTGTTTCACCAAACTCTGCTCATGGTTTTACTGTCAGTCCAGTGAAGACTGTGGGTTATTTAAGGCAAAGAAGTGTCTCTGAATCTGATGCCGATGTGAGAAAATCTGGTGAGAAATCTCCTTCGTTTGTTGGACGTTCTGTCAAATATCTGGGAGCTTTTACAGGTTCTCCAGATAGTGCTTCTCTTTTGAAACAACTGGCAGCTAATTTCTCTGGTGTTACTTCCATATCACAACTTCCACTGACCAAATCAAGTGATGCTTCCACGACAAGCCATAGTGAGCATAAAACTTCAAAAGTTGAAACAGGAAAATCATTAAAATCATGTTCAATAGTCTTAGAAAAGTTGGAACCAGATCAACAAGAAGAAGATGCTGGCCAAGTTGATTCTTCTGTGTTAAGTGATATGGAGTCAAACCCTTCAAGTTTGTCTCCAGTGAAAGACTTCCGATCTAAATTCCAACTTGATTCTAGCTCTGATAGTACTGCTGAAGACAGTGTTCCTCTTGCAAACATTAAACAAAGACTTAAGTCTCAGCAAACTCCTCAATCTTGGTCCCATCAGTCCAACTCACCAGCAACAGCTTCAACCTCTACTCCCCTGTCCAAAGACCCCAATGGTTCTCATCTAAAGCATCAGAAAGAGGGATATCATCCAAAGTCACTTGAATCTCACGAGAAATCTCAGAAGTCAGAAACCACATCAGTGCCTGGACAGCTGCTCGATCAGTCACAACCAGAATCCATAGAAAACCAACAACCTTCTATATCATCAGTAACCTCTTCAGCATCTTCAGTATCAACAGCATCAACAGCTCAACCTGCTCAGCCTGAAACTAATTTGTCCCTATATCCACTCAATGTCAAGTTGGGTGCCGCCAGCAGTGAGATATTACCAGTAGAATTTTCCGATGATGATTCTGGATCTGAAGACAGCGATCTTCTGGAAATTGGAAGTGGTTATGAGGCGTACTTGGAATCTTTTGAAACTTCGACAAATGCTTCAAATGATCAGAGGTAATGTTATACTTTGTTTTTTTATTTTGATAAATGGATGGAAATTGACATTTTGGTAGAAATAGACTCTTTGAAGTGGATTTATTTTTACTGTTATTCATTATTTTAACTCAGTAAAAGTATCCTCATAGTTGATAGTTGCATGGTGAAACTGTGAGGTTGAATATAAAATGGTTTGATTTTATTTTAGACCTTACATCTTTATGTCTGGAATTTGTGGTAGATTGGTTGTGGATATCTTTTACAAATTTGTTAGTCTACAAAATGCCCTTTCATAATTTGCCAAAGTTGATGAGCAAGGCTAATATATTTTTCTAACTTTTTTTTATACCAAATGACTTTTATTTCAGCATCGCCACCAAGAAAAGTAATAAACCGTTTGATGGACCAAGATTAACTATTAATGGTATACAGTTTGATAATGACAATGTATATGTTTGTTATCGTGGGTATGGAGTCAGACGCTTTTCAAAAGAAGTAAGTCTTTAATTGTTTACCTTTTAGTTTAAAGTCTGCTTAGGTAGGGAAAAATACAAATACTAAAATTGGTTGTTATCCATTTTGTTTTTTGTGTTTGATAGAGAAAATTGAGGACCAATTTGGCAAAATCTGGAAAAATGTCTTGCCGGTCATAACATCAATGAAACCATTTGTTAATGTTTTCTAATACCTTTCTATTTTTCAGACAGGAGATTTGTTGACAGATTATGATACTCAGGACAATACTGTCAACTGTATGGCTCTAGCTACTCTACCTAATGGACAATCAAGACTATATTTGGCTGGAGTAGCCTTTTATATCATGGCTTATGATGTTGAGGTAGGTGTCATGTTTTATCAATCCTCCTGGATTCTGTAACTGGGGGTACAAATTAGGGACAGACTGACTTGGGGAAGGGGGCTCTCCGGAAATGTATTTTGATAAAATTAAAGTATTTCTGTGGGGACAAATGCCCCTATCCTGTATATCCACTCGCAATGCCCCTGATATTTTGTTTTTTTTTTTTAATTCCAGTGTTCTGTATAATATAGATGTTATATTTCAGAATTCCAGTGTTCTATACCATATAGATGTTATATTTCAGAATTCTAGTGTTCTATACCATATAGATGTTATATTTCAGAATTCCAGTGTTCTATACAATATAGATGTTATATTTCAGAATTCCAGTGTTCTATACAATATAGATGTTATATTTCAGAATTCCAGTGTTCTATACAATATAGATGTTATGGAAGAAGTGAAATGTTTACATTCTGATTATGGTCATGTTTATGGTGGTTTAGTCAATGGAATGCTAGAAGTTATATCACTGCAGGTATTATTATGTGTTTTGCATAATTATTAGAGATGTCAATTTTCAACACAGGTCAAATTAGCTTTGAAATGTTCAATTGCTTTTTGAAATATCGGCAAGAACTATTCCATCCCACATATCAAGTTAGCTTTGTATTATTTTCTCTTGCACAGGAATCTTTATTAAGCACAGTAAGAGATAAAGATTCCTGGATGAGGAATGAAACATTGTAAAAATTAAAGGAAGGAGTAGTATATCCATAATAAAGTATTTTCTAAAGGCACAGTGAGGTTGGGGCTAAACATGTCAGTTATGACCTTCAGTCACTCCTTCTATACATTTACTAAGTAAATTGTTATATAACTAAGATTAAAACTAGTCATACCACAGCTTATACAATGAAAAGATCAAGGTAATATATCAATATCATGTAAATATTTCTATTTGTAGAATAATAAAAAGATAGACACCTATCAAAGTGATGATCAGTGTATTCACTGTATAACATCAGCTAGAGAAGGAGGTTTTAAATTACTCTGTGTCTCATCACAAGATGCTACTATTACTATTTATGATGCATTTAGTGGGTTACCAGTCCGTGTTTTAGAAGGTCACACCAAAACAGCCTTTAGTGTACAGGTATGTGTTGATAATTTCTATACACAAGCCCTCGGAAATTGCAAGTCGTCAAAACCAAAATATCAGATGATTAAAGCAACTTAAACACCCTTGAAAATGAGGAAAGATGACTTATTCAAGGTTCAACAAACTGACTGATATAATAACCAATAACAATCATTTGAGCTAACTCAGAGCCTAAACTCTTACATTGACCTTGAGTCTGTCAAAGTGAAAGTGGTACACTATTCCTGTGACAAATTTTAGTCAAGACTGAAAAAGTTGAATTTAATATGCTTTAGTTCATGAAAGTATCTATTATATTGTAGGTCAACATGAATAAAGTTTACAGTGGATCTGGTGATAAAACAGTCATGGTTCATGATTTACATGTAAGTAAATTTATATTGAATTTACCCCAAAGAGTGTTCAGTAATCATTTTGCTATTCACCTAAATCTTTTTTTCAGAATTATAAGAATTTGACGTATTTATACAGGATAGTTTAATTTATTTCTCCTGAATGTTGGAAATTGATAAAAAAAAAACGAACAAACTAATGCTTCTATCATTGCTAAAGTTCCCTCTTTATAATATATATATATATATATTGTATTAGACAGGGGAATTAGAACATGTATATAAAGATTATAAAGGAATGGTGACCAGTGTATTTATAGATAGAAGTTATTTATATTCAGCAAGTTATGATAGATTAATACGCTGTTATGATGTAGAGGTAAGAGAACATCAATAAAAACAATTCTAACACCACAGAGAGTGCTTCCAAAAGTCACCTTTTTGTTGGCTCTCAACTCTAATCTCTCCTGCCCATGACTGGCTCTTGACTCACTGTGTATAAAGGGCACCCCTAGTTTGGCTAGCCGTATTTAGAGTCAAAAAAAAGTGCACTATACACACATGTATACAGTATATGAATATGTCCTTGAAGAGGTTAATGACTTTAGACTGTCAATACTGTGTTCACTTGTGACAGTGGATTAGCTCAGGAATATGGAAGTTAGATTGTAGTCTGCTAGGCAATTGGGTACCATGCATTCAAATCCTGCTATGGTTAAAAAAAAATATATTTTGAGTGATTTTACATTATCTAAAAATTTTAGCTTGTGTTGAATTGTAACATTAAAAGGTATTTTTTTAGAAATCATTATTCAATATTTCAGAGCCAGTCGTTGAAGTGTATGTATTACGGAGCAGGACAAAGAGTTGTCTCCTCTATTGTCGTTCATGACAGAAAGGTCAGTTCTGTTTAGAATTTCTTTTTTATCTTTCAATTTGTGGTATGGGTTTAAAATTTAATCACTCTTTCATTAATATAAGGTTTTGTGGTGCAGACAAGTAAATTCTTAATTTATTTACTGCATGAGAATTGAAATTTGCTTGAATTACCATGTGTTTTGAAGTTATAAATTTCTGTCTATAACTGCCGTTATGTTTTTTTTAAAAATAATTTAATTCCCACAAGTAAAGTTCTGAATATTATTATAGAACTAAAACATGATTGTTATATTTCTAGCTATATACTGGTAATCGTGATGGAGAGATATTTGTTATATCTTTAGATTCGAAACAAGTCTGGCCCTGTCAGGTTTGTCATTTCTTTAATCTTAAAAAGTCAAGATATCCATTTTCAGGGGTTGATTTGAGTCTGGAATATATGTAACTAGTCTTCAGAAGTACTAGAAATGTACGAAAATCACATAATTCCTTCAAAAATACCTCAAACTAGGAATTTCCTATTTCTATGGATATCTTTTATATATATGTATCAATGTCTTGAACTTGCGATGATAATTGTGAACACTCATGGATTTGAAGGCTCAAATTTTGACAGTGAGCTGTGAACACTTTTACTGATTAGCTAAGAAGTATTTTAAAAAGAAATAACTGTTATATTTCAGAGTGATAACTGTAAACATGTATTTGGTATTCGACATCATCTGTTATATCATTTATTAAACGATCATACAGTTCAGAATAGTTTTATGACTAAATGTACCTGGAGAGGTTGTAAACAATGGTTTTATACTCAGAAAGATTCAAAGGCAAGTAATATTTATATCACAGTTTTCATAGTTCACATACTAAACCATCAAGCACTTGCTAAGGGTGGGGCTAATAATTTGTTTGTCATGTTTATATGTCTTATCCTGCTAACCTATGGATTTTCACTGTTAAAATACTGCTCTTTGAATTACTTTCCAGAGCGATAAGAACTTTCACTTTATTTTTACATAATTGAAATGTTTTGTTTTTACAGAAATTTGAAAGTCATATGGAAGAGCACTTAGAACCAGTGGAGATTTGAAAATTTGTTTGATCTTTAAAAGTCTAGTCAAATACAGATATACAATGGTTAAGAATTAAGTGTCATTGGATGTGTCCATCATTGAATGGCCATATCAATGGGATGACAAATGTCAATCAGTGGCAGTGGACGAGTATGACAGTGTCACTCAGCGGGTGATAATTACAGTGATATTCAGTGGTTCAAATTTACAGTGATATTCAGTTCTTGAGAATGACAGTGTGGATCAGTGGTTGAGATTGACACTGCCAATCAATGAATGAGAATATCCATGTCATCCAGTGAATGAAAGTGTCAATCAGTGGATGACAGTTGGTAAGAATTAAAGTGTCAATTTAGTGGATAAGAATGATAGTGTCATTCACTTATTGCCAATGACTATGAAAATTATTGGTCCCTATTATTGCATTAGTTCAGAATTGCATTTATAATCAGCCTGGCAATCAGTGGTTCAGAATGACACTGAATGAGAATGACAATGCCAATCAGTGAATGAGAATGACAGTGTTCAATCAGTGAATGAGAATGACAATGCCAATCAGTGAATGAGAATGACAATGCCAATCAGTGAATGAAAATGACAATGTTCAATCAGTGAATGAGAATGACAGTGTTCAATCAGTGAATGAGAATGACAATGCCAAAATCTGTGAATGAGAATGACAGTGTTCAATCAGTGGATAAGAATGACTGTGATCAGTGTCACTATCACTAATTGATCTTATCCAGCATTTTTGGAAGTTAAATCCTCAATAGAGATTACAGACTTACTTTTGTATCAGGATATTTGTGGAAATTTTGAGACTGTTTTTTTTTTATCTTGCATTTCCTTGTATATTTTTTGTTATTTAAAATAACTGTGATAACTTTTGTTGAAGATTATAAATAAATGAATATAATTTATATGAAACATTTGCCTTTTCTTTATTTAAATCTCTTAATAATTTACGATGTCAACCATATAATTGCATGTGCGTTAACTATCGGGTTTGGATGAAAAGGTCAATTCCTTTTGACCAAATACAAGCTAGATAATAAGAAGGCTAACCAGAAGGCGAATCATATAAATGACTTTACATGTGATGACAAAGTTTACAAGAAAGTCACTTAAATAATAATGTCTATGTTTTGTGCCACAGGCTGTGCACATTTAAGATATCTTGACAGTGGGATATTGAAAAATGGTAGGCGAATGCTGCTGTCGTGCCAAAATTTACCTCATGGCACACTGCATGGCATTGACTGTCTTCTTTTGCTCATAAGGTGCAGAAAGTAGGACTAAAGCTTCAACTATTTCATATACATTTCTTTTCTCCACTGTTTTATCAAAGTTTCTGTATACTTAATACATACATACAACATCGATCTACATTAACTTGAAAAATGAAATGAAAATCAATTCATATACTAAGACCACAATATGATGTTATATGAATATCACAATATATCACAGGGCAATAACATTACATACATAAATTTACATAATATTAAATAAACATTATTCCACCATCAATTCATATCACAGTATTATTTCAGTTACACAATTTTCACACACCTCATCAAGCATTCTTCAGTTCCACTTCTCTTTGACTGACACTAAATAATTCAGTATGATTGCCATTAGTTCAGTGAGCAGATTTAGTTACTATTCAAATATACGAATGGATCCATTATACAACCACTAGTAACCATCAGAATGAAATCAAATCAATGATTAAAGAGATGACTTTAGCTACAGCGGGCCTGAATTTCTCAAAAAGGTAATAATAACAAGCTGTATTTCATCTTCAAGACAGATCTGTATCAGTACTAATTGTTAACTAAGCAGTTTAAATTTAACAGCTAGCGTTTAAGATTAAGAAAACACCAGACGAATAGATGATCCAGTAAATTTAGCACCATAATGACCAGCCCAGAAATTCAGATCACTTCCATTATGAGTATATTTTATATATTGTAATGTTGGATAATGTTTTTGGAACGTATGCTTCACCTGTCAATGATAAAAAAAATTGCATAAAAATGTAATGACAATAAAAATATTCATCACACAACAGTTCTGTTCTCTGGTTCATAATACAGGTTCATAAAGACAATATGAACTCATAGCGCAGGTTAATATTTATGCAAAATAGGTCCTACGTTCATGCACCATGTAAACACAACAACATGGCTTTCTTTGAAGTTGAAACTCAGACAGAATTGTTCCTAATAACATAATTTTGATCAAAAGTTTCAATTTAGTAATCACATGATTGTTTTTACAAAGAACATTTTTGTTATGTGCAAGAACATTTTGTAGAAAGGTGTAAAAAGGCTGACCTTTTGATAGTTGTGTGATAAATAGAATCTTTCACTCATGCTTATATAATACAAAATTAATTCTTGCAACTCATTTCATAAATCCTTTATATATTCACTGTTAAAAGGGTGCTCAAGTTTTATGCTGCTCAATCTTCAAACAATGATCTATTTCAGTCTATTAAGTTGATATTAAGTACTAATCTATTATAATTAAAAATACCTGTTCATCTAAAACACTTTCATTATCAGCTTATAGAGGAAATCTTAAACAGTTGTCACTACCACAAGAAAATTTCCATTCAATTAGAAGAAAGACAAAAAGCTGAAATTGTGCTTCATCAGCTCTTAATGCTCATTTTTAGATGATTATAATCACAGAGAAACATTAAGCTTCAATCTATCTGACTGGTAATATCAATCCTGACGTTTCACAAGTAAACTTGTGAGATTTTGCAAAGACAAAAGGGCAACTTCTCTGCACACGCCATTCTGATTCTAGGTTAGAACATATTCTAAGAGCCTAAATAGCTAATAAAGCTTATTTTTTTACACTCAGTTTTGCCAGTCAAACTTACCTGTTTCCACTCATGACCAGGTGGTAATTTATCAATAAGTTGAAAGGTATCCAGAATTTCTTTTGATTTGTTTAATAACTCTACAGTGATTACATATTTACATCCACAATCGAACCGACTTGTATACCTACAAATAGAGAATATAAATTATGATATCTTTTCACTAGATGCTGGAAATTTCTACTTTGCTGTGATCAAAGAACATGCTAAAAACCTTTTTTGTATGAGAATACTAGTCCGTAACATCTATTTCTATTCCAGCCTCTGATAGCTATTTTGACAGTTGTCAACTGGAGTAGAGTCAGAAAATCTAGGCCTTGTTTTTGTGGGGATTCTCCATATAAACCTATATAGAGGCAGATGTTTGATGAAAATAGAAATATTTATTTTTCCATTGGAAGGCATTGACCATTTACCACTCACCCTAAAGTTACCAAACATACATACCATTCTGAAATACAAACTTTTGGTTTGGTTTTGTTGTAGAAATAGGCTTCAAAATTCTTGTGTATATCAACAAATTGATATTTCGAAGAAGTAGCAAATGATGTAACCCATGTTTTCACAGGTCCTTCAGCTGAAAGTGAAAATTCCATCAATGGCACCATGTAGCATGGAATTCGAAAAAACGACATACATGAACACATTACAACCAATTCAAAAAATTTCCAAGAACTGCTATCTTCAAGCCAGAAAAATTTGTGTAAAGAATTTGTTAACATTATTCTATGCTACTCAAAGAATTGACTTCAATTGCTTTTTGAAAATGATTTACAGAATCTATGAAATAACCATAGGGCTATAAATATCATTATTATTATATAATGATCAGTTGAAATATTATGTGACATATCTGTTTATCTGCAGCTCTATGACTGTTATGATATCAAGCAATGAATAGTGGGCCCAGTGACGTTACAGTGCTGTAGCTACAAGTGCCAGCTTGCAAGAACTAAATGGAATCATCTGGTGCAGCTATAGGGTACATTTGAAGCCTGAACTATGCATACATTTTTATTCAATGCATTCATTTGGAAAAATACAGTATCCCTACAGCCTTAAAAACCATATCCATGATGATCTTTGGATAATTAAAGAATAATGCTAAAATTAAGTCTATTACACCAAAGTCACATGGTACTGTCAAACATTCAGCCATTGCAGTAAAAGACTTACTATTTTTTAGGAGATCAGTTGGGAAAGGTTTGGCACCAACGGGAGTATCTTCGATAATAAATCTATCTCCACCATCTAATTCTATAGTCCAGTGCGAAAACTTCTCTTAAACATATAATTAAAATATAATAATTTGCCAACATTGTAAGAAATTTGCCTTTTTTGTACAGTAGATCAAATTAAGCGAGCATGAAGGGTGTCTTTATTAATCAGTCTTGAAAAGATCATTCTGACACTTCCTTATATATTGGCTTCAACTGTTTCAAGACGAATTTCCGCTAATGGGTTCGAATCCTGGTCTGATGCCACAGTCAATGTTTAAGTGAGTACCAGTGTCAGCTTCACTCTCTCATACCATACTTATATAACCTTACATGAGTTATCCCAAGATCTACTAATACTTTTATTAAATTTCTCAGTAAGACAGTCTTGATTAATATATATTTTCACCTGCTGCATTAGGATTAAGTAGTAAATTTCCACCATGTTTCGCTGTCAGATATAACGCTATGCAATCTTTACCCTCTGCCATTTCTGCCAATGGTAATCCTAAATTGATACATTTGAGTCTCCAGAAATGATTCTCATTGACCAATGTCTTAAATCTCTTTGAGACCAGGCGTATAGTTTTTATGGTCTGTGTTTCTGGTAGATAAGAGATTATCAGCTGAATTATCTCATCTGGAAGATCCATCATTATCTCTAAACCCTCACCCTGAAAATCAATATTAACAAACGGTTACTCTAGTCTACTTGATCAAGCTGTAAATGGATGAGTTATCAATGCCAGGAAGTTTGGCCAAAGACATGCTGGTAGAAGGGATCCTTGAGAACCTAAGTCTGGGAGTTGTTATCCTTGCGGAACAATCTAAGCCCTTGTCATGAAATCAAAATAAGATTTTCAACTGTATGAAAATTCAAGTGAAAATAGCCTACTTTTTGGTCTGTAGACCTACAATCAAGTAAATAAAAACATTTTTTCCAGTGGTTAACGTTTTCAACCAAAAAGTAATCCAAAACTCTCAGTAGTATTTTTTAATTGATATTTCAATTCATGAGGAACTAAATTGCCAAGATTCAATTCAGAAATGCATCGCCATTGGCTACAGTGCATACACACCACTCACGATTCACAAACACTACAGTCTGGTGTTAGTACCGAGATATTCCATTTTTCAACTTACTTCTTTCTTAACTTTAATGATGTGATTTCCCATTTCAACCTTTTATTTGATAGAATTAAGCTTATGCCATGGTTGAGATAAAACGCCGGTCAATCAACTGAGCTATATATAGACACAGTTTTAAGGAACAACAATCACTGGTTAAATTCAAAGACTTTAATCAACTGAGCTGTAAATAAATATTATAAGTCTCTTCGTTACACAAACAACACGGGAATGATGTGACGGGTCATATAGTACAAGACAACACAGAATGATGTGACGGGTCATATCGTACACTACATATCAATAATATTACAGACCTATTCACAAGTTAAAAACTCGAATTATTTCAATCACGTCCCAGAAATCTAACTGATTGCTGATACTCTTGATATAGCCCTACAAATCTGACCGTATCCATTCCTCGTACGTGATATGCGGATGACGTGCCGATATCCCACCATTAGGCCTATACCACATAATGTGTCATCGAATTCTAATTTGATCCTGGGCCCAGTTACATGTCACTGTTACCGCGAGCAAGATGTAAATTAGGTTAACCATTCCATATTACACCTCCTTTTGGGCAGGTCCAATCTACTTTGCATTGGCTTTTCAGTAGGCTGCCTTTGTACAACACAGAGGACAAGCCTTCTTACATTTCGGCCAATGGATGTGACTAAAAATTTGCATTAAATTTTGTAGCGTTCCATTACGCCTATGCAGTGGCGGATTTTGGACTTGTTAGGCCGCAGGCAAACGAACAGTAGAGGGCCTAATTTCTCATTTTAGGGAGGGGACATGGTCTGATTACAATTTTATGGCAGGAAGTTTGCGATCTTTTTTTTCAGGAACATATTAATCAGCTCATCAGCACCAATCAATTCACCACCATTAGGCTCAAACAATTTAGTCGATTCTCACACATCACGATCCTATTAGGACAATTTTCGATGGGCCTGTGGAAATTTTTAACTTTTTGATAATTTTTACTGTTACAAAATTTGACATGGGCCGAAAGGCAGCTGCCTTTTTTGCCTATAGATTAATCAACCTCTGCGCCTATGAATTTATCAGACCACGGCCAATCGTGTATTTACTGATTTTGGAAAATGTTGAGGGGTAGGGAGGTGGGGGTGGAGGAAAGTAACACATTTATTAATACTATTATTAATTTTATTGTCGTCCAGAAACTGCTACATACTGGTCCCTAAACGGAGTATGGAGTCATAGAATTTTCTGTGTTAGATAAGATGCTTGCTTCACCAGGTTTCTTACTCCTCAGGTTCATATTTTTACAATAGTCAGCTCGCACTTAGTTTCTTACACGCAAACTGGTTCTGTTGCCGAATTCAATGGAGGGTCTGAAAGTAAAACACTTAAACACTGAATAAATGCAATAGACATATGAAAGGAATGACGAGATGGCAAAAATCAAAATGCAGAGAGGCACTAGTATAAGCACATGTGTTTATTGGATGGATTCAAACATTCTCTAGGATTCTACTCAGTTTCGACGAGAGACAAACACTGATTTCAAGATGCTGTAAGAAGTCTATGTGAAATAGATCATCAAAAATTGCCCCCCCCCCCCCCTCCTCTAACCATATTACATAGGGAAATAATTGTCTGTTGACCTAATTTGACAGCTATGTGCTCACCCCCACCCTCCCCCTTTCCTACGTAACAATTACTAGAAACGCTACTGCAGATTTCCAAAAGATTTTTAAATATCTCACTGTAATATGGATCTAGCTCTAGCTTGATTGGTTCTTTTGGTTCCGCACCGCCACATCCGCCATCACCTGTTACAGCAATCTTATGATCTGTCCTCGAAACAACAGCAAACCTTTCATGCCATCCTTTTCCCAACCATTCGTTCTGCATTAGAAAAACACTTTTCCATTGAAATACTAAGTAATAAAATGCCGAAAATCCAACGCAAATTGAGGATGTTGCGTTCATAAGCATACACATATAGAGACGGTGCATCGTTCAGAGAACCTTGCCAATGCAAAGGTTTGCAAATTAATATAAAGTTAACTAACGAAAAAATAATCTATATGCCCTCTACGAATCAGACATTTATCCCCCCTGAAAAAATTCTGGCTACGGACCAATTCCAATACTGCAACTATACATACACTATACATCATTGCTCCTCGGGATATATTACTTGTCACTAAAACAATCGAGTCCAACTACGGGCCTTGAGTTAGTCAACATCCTACCTTAACTTTCGTCGACAATTTTCTACTTATTTGTAGACGAACTGGATGTCGAATGTTTATTGTCTAAAAACAGAGCGCTCCTACATACCGATGCTCCAAAGATAAGCCCCGTCGACGTGACATCTATTCTTGCCGTTCCTCTTTGTGGGCATATTGATGTATCATATACCGAACAGGCACCAGCATAACCATATTTCAGCTCTAACTGACCATATACTTGAGTTGCAAATCTCCTATCAGCATTTTGAATCCTCATGCTCTGTAAATGAAAGACTAGTGATGGGATTAATCAAGTTAACTAATACTTTAACTCACATTTAAAAGTTTAGAATTGGTATTAGTTGAAATATAGTCAAAAAATTCGACTTCTTCAAGTAGAGGAAGAGATTCAAAATTGTTATGGACTACGCTCGTGTGTGTTATTTCCAGTAAGAACCATACCTAGCATCGTATGAGTACAGTTACTGTCCAGTAAATCTGTAAGTCGTCGCCATCAGTCACTGTTGACCTTTGGAACCCGTGGTCATGGTTTTATCGAATGGGAAAACTACCTAATAGAGCAATAACATACCTCGGGTAGAACTCTAACTTTATGAAACTGGACTTTCCCCTGCTTAGTGGATCCTGCAGTCTTTACCTTGCATCCCGAACTCTTAATATACGTTCCGAGTGGGAATTCCATTACATTACTTTTCACTAACGTAACGTATTCCATAGGGGCCCCGCCACTCATTCCATAACAGTATATTTTAGTCTTCGTATTGCCATATACGCCGGGATATAACCAATATTCCCCGTCCTTATACGCTAGATTACATTGTTTGAGATCAGAACAGGATTCTAAGGCTGAAATTATAATATTATTAATGTTTCTACGAAGGCCCAGATATGGCCCGGTTTTGTCCGATTTGATACTTCCAATTTCAAATTTTTATCATTTAACTTGCTTCCCTTGACAATTCCCAATCGGCCCATCTAATGATTCATAGAAAGGCCACTGCGTTAGGATGTTGGGGAGCGGCAGTGGCTCAATAAGATAAGAGGGCCGTTTATTGGGTTGGAACCCCTCCTCTAGGATTTTTTTTCTGGTGGTGGTGGCCCCTTTACGGATGGGGTCCCGTGGATTTGGTTAAACCAGTTCCTATGGTAGTTGAGCCTCTATTGAGTGGAGAGCTTCTGCGAGAGTACCTCTTGTTTTGTACGGATGCTCTCTACCTATGTAGTCATTGAGATGATCAAATGACCAATCAAAACGAAGATCCAGTTGTTCCGTTTCGTATTTTCAAGCGGGTTACTATACCAGCCTTCAATGATCTGGCAAAATTCTTGTTTGTGTTCATTCGAATTTTGACACTATGGCTTCGAAAGTTGTTTTCATTAGTAAATATTAAGAAGACATGTATAACATTAAATATTTAAATACCAACCAACCATAAACCATCACATCAGGCTTGACAATGTTGATAATGAAAGCAGTGATTGGCGCTAAGACTTAAAGAGAACGTACAGAGGTTTTCTAAATTTGCACCATTCAGTTTTCAATCAGACGTCTGTGGCTCATGCAATTCATCTAAAACTATATATTTGATGACATCACTTATCGAAAAGGTCTTATGTGATACAAGCATAATTTTTCGATTATTGGCGTCATCAAACACTTATATTTTGTGAAATTGCAGGAACCATAGACGTCCGACTGAAAAATAGAATGGTGCAAATCGACCCTATCAGTATCCCAAATACATATAAAAAATTTAGAAAATCTCTTTACAATCTCTTTAATGATTAATGGTAATTAACAAGGGAAAGTTCGGTTACCTTTACTATGGACACCCGATGACCATTTCGAACCATAGCATGTTGAAGTATTTACCAGAGGGAAATAAAAACCAGTATTACAGGTATAGTAAGCTGTATAAACATCCCCGCTATCATGCACTACTTCTTTTAAAACAGCATTGGAAACCACCGGTGGAGGACCACATTTCGGACCTTAAAAATCAAATACGTTAAAGGGATACAGTCGTTTATTTTAAATTTTTTTTTTTATTTTTTTTTCCTTTGGACTTTATATGCTGTTAGAGCTTTATTTCAGCCACTATTGAAACTCAGTTGGCCTATGATAAAAATTAGACCAATCTTTTTTTCCGTTATTGACTGAGTAAAAATAGAAGCTAATTCAAGTACGGAACAAAAATTGATCTAATGCTATTTTGACTGCAATGAGTCGGTACTACCATATGATAATATGTCTTATTTCTTTAAAGGCAAATACAATTATGCACCATTGATATCCCTACGCCCGACAAATTACGTTGATTTTTTGTATAACGGTAAAAAAAATATTTCAACTTAGGCCTCGCCTTCAAATCACATGTACATGTATTTCTTATTCTTATTAAGTTCTGGAAAACCCCGAATTTTCATGCACGTGTAAATTTGAATCAGCAATATCATAGAATAGTTCGCGAATATTCAAGATGGCAGTGGACACAATCGATTTTCCACTAAGGTTTAAAAGCAGGGACACATCTGTCAATTCACACAAACAACATTGTAAGTTTGTAAGTTCATTTTTTTAGGTTTTTCATTTTACTTTGTTTACGTCGGTTCGTTACGTCTTTCTGGTTTTGCGAAGAAGTTCCTGTCAATCCTCATCTTTGTCCATGATCTAGTTCTGGAAACCTAGGCACGTTCTTTCCTATGACTGAGTGTGAAAAATGACTTTGGATAAATATCAGTTATTTACCATAATCAGAGATCTGGAGTTCAAGAAACCACCCTGTGGAATACTAAATAATATATGACATCTTGCAAATTTTCATGGATGCTGAACACTTTCTTTTTCTTATAATAAAAATTGGCAAATATTGTAAATCGAATATGCATGTAATATATGTAACAGTGCTTGGTACAATGGTAGTTTTCCGTATCAGATTGATACTAGAGGATGGGTCTCAATAGGCTTATTGTTCAGCGAGTCAAATTGAGCATAAGTAATTTGAATAGTCATTTCATTGAAACCAATGGCAGCACAAGCCTCCAGAGACTCTGGGTACAAAAAGGGGACAGACTGATTCCATAGCGTGGGTGGAAAGGGGGCGGGGCAACTGTCGATGCTGAATTCAGAATTCGACAACTGTGCAGGTGTCATAGTCGCAAGCCGCTCATTGAGCGTCTGAAAGTGTCTTCTATGTGCATTCTGGCACATATTATGAGACAAAAAACGTAAAAGAATCATATATTTGAATTTGTTAAAGATAAAGTTGAAGTGCAAACCTATTTTCTATGAAGGCAAATGCCGCTTCCTTCACCCTTATCCCCCACTGACGCAGCCACTGATTGAAACATGTTTAATCGAACTTACCGTGAATCATGTTGAATCAAACTTACCTTTAATCATGTTCAACCAAACTTCCATTGAATCATGTTGAACCAAACTTACCTTGAATCATGTTCAAACAAACTTACCTTTAATCACGTTCAAGCGAACTTACATTGAATCAGGATTAATAAAACTCATCATGTTCAAACTAACTTACTTTGAGTCATGTTCAACCAAACATACCTTGAATAATGCTCAGTCAAACTTGCATTGAATCATGTTCAACCAGACTTACATTGAATAATGTTCAACCAAACTGACCTTGAATCATGTTCAACCAAACTTACGCGAAGGTGAACATAGTGGCGGAGCCAGCCTTCCGAGACGGGGGGTACAAATAGAGGGAAGATTCAATAGGGGAACAACTGTCGAGGCTGAATGCAGCAACTTTGTGAAGGAGCCTCTCGTGGAGCGTCTCCCAAGAAAATTTTCGAAAGATAGAATTGATTTGGTACATTCTGACACAATATTATGGACTGAAGACGTAGCAAAGTCTTATTTGTAAAAATCAAAGCGGGGTTACAATTGGGAATGCAAACCATTTTTCTAGGCGCTGCCACTGGGTATACAAAAAAAATTTATCATTTAAGGGTTGGCCAAGGTACGTACCATGAAGAACATAATAAATAAATCCATCCCTGGACACCAAGTTTCTTGTTGTATGAATCTTGGCATTATTTGATATACAAACTTTAGACTCCTTGTTGTAGAAAAATGACTCGTGATTGTTGTTCTTAGCGGAGTTAGCACACGTATATAAATTGGTTTGTATCTCCCCGTCCAATAATAGCGACCATTGGGTCATATACACTACGAAATTGCTCCACATTATATCTCAAACGTCAATTCCAATTCGGATCGTTAGTACTGGGTTTATTTATTCCAAGAATATTATGCCTAAGAAATTCCAACAGTTTATTGCTTAAACAATTCCAAGAAAAAAATTCCTTAAAAGGTCCTAAACAATGCAAAGAGTAGAATGTTGAAACAACTCCAAGAATATAATGCCTAAACAATTCAAAATAGGCCTAATCCAAGTTTCATAAGATCTCACTTATCATTACAGTTTGTTTAATCTATTGGAAATATGCTGGTAATTGTGTTTGTGACGCAGTTCGAGAAAGAGGTCATCAAAGTAAATAATTTATTAAAGTATTGTAATGATTGACATGCTATATTGATTTGAATTATGTCTTTAATTATAAAAATAGGCCTAAAAGTACTTGTTTATGCATTTGCTAAATTTGGAAATAAATAGCAAAGTAAAAACCACGTTTGATTTAAAATATATATCATATATTCATGAGAACAGGTATTGGCTCAAAACACGATGTATAGGCTCACAGGAATATTAATATGCTCACAGGAACAATAACTGGCTCATAGGAACATTGATGGGCTCACATGAATATTTATTGGCTCACAGGAACATTGATGGGCACATAGGATCATTGAAGGGTTCACATGAACATTAATGGGCTCACATGAACATTAAATGGCTCACATGAAGATTAATTGGCTCACAGGAACATTGATGTGCTCGAGGGAACATTGATGTGCTCACGGGAACATTGATGTGATCACGGGAACAATTATGTGCTCACAGGAACATTAATGGGCTCAAAGGAACATTGATGAGGACACAGGAACAATAACTGGCTCACATGCACATTAATGGGCTCACATGAATATTGATGGGCACACAGGAACATTGATGTGCTCTTAGGAAAATTAATGGGCTAACAGGAACATTGGTGGGCACACAGGAACATTGACTGACACACATGAACATTGATGTGCTCACGGGAACATTGACGTGTTCATGGGAACATTGGTGGGCACACATGAACATCAATTGGCTCACATGAAGATTAATTGGCTCACAGGAACATTGATGCGCTCGAGAGAACATTGATGTGCTCACGGGAACATTGAGGTGCTCACAGGAACATTGATTGGCTAACAGAAACATCGATGTGCTCACTTGAACTTAAATGGGGTCCCAGGAACATTGGTGTGCTCTCAGGAACATTGATGTGCTCACTTGAACTTAAATGGGGCCCCAAGAACATTGGTGTGCTCTCAGGAACATTGATGGTCCTACGGAACATTGATGGGATCACATGATCTTAAATGGGCCCCCAGGAACAATGAGGTGCTCACAGGAACATTTATGGGCTCACACAAACACGCATTAGCTCGAAATAAAAATACATGTTGTAGCTCACAAGTGAAGATCAATGTACTCATGGCAATATGTATTCAATTGAATTGGAACATTGCTTATATTAAAGAAAGGGTAGTATATCTATAATAGCATTTTATTTTCTAATGTTACGTCTACTTGTAAAAGTTATTTAAAAATCATATTAACTTTTTCAGAGACCAACATCTATTATTGCAACATCAATCCAAGAGACTATAAAATATGTACATGTACTTCTATTTTTACAGTTCATCAAGTATACACGTTGGTTCAGTTGCTGATGTCAATGGTGGACCTGAAATCACAAACCATTTTCAATAATTTAATAAGAATCTGTAAAATGGACAAGAATTGGGACATGAGATGTTATCATTAGCAGTTTTAGCAAAACATGTCTGAGAGAAAATAAGATGGTGCAAATCAAGGCTGTCTTACAGAGCCTGTAGCACACGGAGCCTCAGTTCATTGACCCATTCGAACTCTTAGGAGCTTTTGTCCATGTTATCAGTGGCGGAGCCAAAGGGAGGGGGGGGGGGGGGGCAAAGGGGGTACTCCCAGCCCCAAAGGCATATTTTTTCAGGCATAAATCTCATAACTGGGTTAGAAATTCAGGCAACCTCTGGTATTCCACTCCCACCCCCCTTCGCCTCGGACGTAAACCTGGCTCCACCACTGCATGTTACCCCTCCGACTTAATCCGTGAGAATAAATTCGCCATTTGCCGGGAATGAACCTTGGACTTTCAGCTTAGTTTGCAAGCGTATAAATCACTGAGCCAAAAGACAACACATGAAATAGTAGACCAAAACCTAATCAGTTTTAAAAAAAAACCTTTCCACTTACTGTATAACATATCAGTTTGTAATTTGATTGGACCATTCGGTGTGCCGCCTCCACATGCTCCATCACCGGTTACATATACTTCATGATCAGTTTGACTTACAACTTCAAATATACCTTGCCATCCACCGTTCATCCAACCAATCTGTAATTGATAGAAATAACAAACGTATTCACCCACAGTTTGTTTCAGGGCAGCGTTGTACACCTGTAGCATTTCTGAAGCTTCTAAACTCCCGGTTCAAACAATTTGGGTACCTTCATTATCGCGAAGAGTCGTATAAAATATAAGAAAACTTTGTGATAGTGGCGTCATCAAACGCGTACTTTTAGTGGAATTGAACCGCCCAACAGGCGTCTGATTGAAAATCAACACTTCTAACAATGTCTCCGACACCTGTATATAATCCTTTTAACAAATGTCGAATGGCGAAGTCAGAATTAGTCCCGAATGCTTACCGAAGAGCTAAAACTCAATCCAGTTAATGTTATATCCAACTTTGCTTTTCCTCTATGTGGACATATATCTGTATTATGAGTGGAACATGCCCTTGCTTCACCATAGGGTATAGGAATGCCAAATTCTTGGCTTGTAAAGCTGTAATCTTTCCCTTCAACCGTCATATTCTATAACATAAACAAATCATACTGTCGTACGGTTTACCGTCAAAGTATTCGACAATCCTCGACAATCCTCCACAGTTTCCATAAAGCTGTATCTGTCTCGGTAATGTATGATAGATTTCGTTGTGTCTTTTTGGGCAAGGCTCTTTGCTCTTCACTTACGTGCAAAATCGGTGTACCGTGAAAGTTCCAATGACGCTCTACAATTGAGACCATCCTCGACAGTTTCTGTAAACTTGAATCCTTTTAATATGCTGCTCAGTGTTAGCAGAACTTTCGGCAAAAATTCTGTAACGTGGCTAGAGGTAAGCTTTATCTAATTATTGATTGCATAATAAGAGTAGAATGCTTCTTTGTGACACATGACTATGACTTAAACTATTGGACTAATGTGAATAATGGCCTTATAATAAATAATGCTATCGATAGTGATATACTAAGGCTAAATGTAAAAAGAATAAAGTTTATGAAGTCAATACAGCTAGATTTCGGCTTACCGTATCTCTTTTCATATCTGAAATCTGGCTTCCAGTTACCTTTCAATTGAACAAAGTCTGTAATAATGATAGTTTTATTTCGTATGTATAAAATAAAGCATACCTGTACGTATATTCTTATTTTGTTGAAAATTGTTTTGCCTTGATCACCTTGAACACCAGTGTGCGCATTACACCCATTAGATTGTGAGTAGCCGCCTGGGGGAAATTCAGCATAATTATCTCCCTTTAATGTCAAATATTCTGTAGGATTGACGGAACTCATAACTTTACAGTATATTCTAGCTCTCTGGTGATTCAAACCACTAGGATACATCCAGTACTCGCCATCTGTTGTGTATCCTGAATTACAAGCCTTGATAGCTTTACATGAATCTAAAGCTGTAAAAGGAAATATAACCAACATCACTGTACGAATCCGATACAAGGTACGTTTGGTGACGTGCTACGTGAGAAAGGGAGGGGGGGGGGGGGGCTGGTGCGGGTTCCGTGATTTTCAAGGAGTAACGGAAGCTGACTCCAGTAGCTTAACTACCACAGGTACTCGTTGAACCTAGTTCACGGGCACCATTCTCTAAGGGGAATTCTACCCCAAATCAATTGTAGGAGGGCTTATGTTATAAAAAAAATCCCGGGAAAGGGCCTCAGCCCACTTAAAGTCTACGGGCCCCCACTCATCAAGTTGAGCCGCCTGCTGACTCTCAATTTCTTATATCTGTACGTAAGGTTAGCATTGCCTGTGAGCCCCCTTTGACACTTCTGTGGCTCCTACTCGCCATCCCGCTGAATAATTTCAGTGAATGGCCGTTCACCCTAAATTCGCTACCGATACAGCGTCATGTTGCAACCACGTGACAAAGCTTTGGTATTACACTAAGATAAACAAGCGTTCCCAGGAGAACACTGGTTCCATTCAGATGGATTCAGCTCAAAGGAAACTACAGAGAATTACAGATTGATATTATTTTCATTGATCTGTAATCAATTTTATCTCAAGGGTTTGTTCGATTGAGAGCCCGGTAAGAGAAATTTACAAAAACGTCATTATTTGAATAATTAATTGAACAGGATTGTCAACGCGTCAAAGTAGGATAAAGGCGTTAGAAAAAATATTGGCCATAGGATGATGTCGTCGCTGATAAAGAAAAGGTCCAGATAAATATTTGATTGTAAAGATAAAAAAATGATAGAAAATAAGCAAATGATTAGGTTATGGAAATGATGGAACTGATATAATAAATGTCTATTATGATATCGATGCGTGGGGAGATTTGTGAACGAAACAAAGTTCTCAAACGGCAACGGCAACATATCACGGTTATGAATGGCAGCCACAGTTTGCTGGAACTATGCACTATGAACTATGTCACGGGATAGTCGACCGGGACTACACGTGTTTGTAAATAAATTGAGTAAAAACAAACATCCGTAAGATATGGATTCAATGGATTAGTGAGTGTTAGGTTTATCTCCCAAAGGCTCGCAATATTACTATCACTTGACAAATCACTGTTAAATGTACCGGAAGTAAAGGGTCTCGCCCAAGAAGACACACCGAAATTCTCCATTCATTACTGAGATGGATTTACCTAAACTGCTGAGGTTTGGCGAGTGTGCTTATCAATGACATGCATATGCTACGTTATGTAATGTATTTATACACGAAGAAAGCTTTGTTACGGAAGCGACATTAGACTTCTCCTTTTCTAACATGCAGATATATGCAGCAAATATTAAAAACAACCAACCTTTACATTCTACCCCATCTGACCAACTTGTACCTATACAAGTTGAATGTGAAGTGATGAAACGGTACTCTTCAGTGCAATTATAGTATGCTTTGTATACGTCATCACCATCTTTTGAAACACTCAGAAGCGTTGCGTTTACTACCACTGGAGGAAGACCACATTTTGGTGCTGAAACAAACCAATTGAATAAGTATTTTCAGTTTTCTCGGCACTTGCCAGATTTATGTATCAGGTCCGTAGGTACAGATGGGCAAGGGCAGGGATAGGCAATGCCCGCCTCCCCTTCCCCCGCCCTCTCCCCTCAAAAGTGGCCGACCTTTCCCCTCGAACAATCAAGTCTGGCTACGGGCCTTTATAAGGTGCTTGTCACCATGGCAGTCATCTGTATACAAAATGAGTCATTGCTGTGATATATTTCTGAAGCATTCATGTACTAGACTAGATGTAAATGAGCATTAGCTTCAAGTCTAGGACGAAAAGCTTCTCACCGTCTTTATAAAAGTACTGAAATCCCGCTGCTTCGATCAAATTGTTGGTGGTATGAAACGGTGACATCTGACTAACAACACAATCTTTACTATGTCGGTTGTAGAAAAACGAAGTAGAATTCACAGAGATAGTCTTCTTGCAGCATTCGAGAGCCGTGCTGACATTTGGAATCACTGTTTGGTTTGGCACAGTCATATTTGTCATATACACCAGGAAATTTAACCATGACGTTATATTGTTATTGCACATTATAAAAGAATACACCGGCGTTGATGTACAAGTAAAAAGGTTTTATGAAAATTATCGCTTTGTCTATATAGAAATATATCGACGATTCTATCCACACTAAAACCTAGACCAAATTAACGACCCCTTGGTTTTGAATATGAATTATCCAAACACCTGCAAACAATACTACAATGTTAGAAAATTGACATGACCACAAAGAAATTTACAACATTACAGTAAATGAAAGTCAGAACACAAGAATTAGATTGTTATTTACATACATTAAAATCACAAAGTAAAAAAAAAACCGAATCGCAATTTTGCAGCCGATGTGCAAAACTGTGATATTTTCAACAAAACTTATTGCAACCTATATATGCCCAAATAGAGATTTCAGATCGACACCTCTTCTCGACCAATATAACCCGACAGACGTGTTCAGTAGCACAACCGAGCCATATAAACTGTAAATAAACACATGGAGGTCTTGGGTTCTAGTTTCGGTCATCTGTCCTGATTATGTCAGTCGACCAAGCTGTAAATGGGTACAGATACTCCGGAACAAATCAATGTCAAGAGTTTTGGCCAAGGACTAGCTAGTCGAATGAATCCTCGTGAACCTAGGTTTCATCCTTGTAAAAACGGTTGTTTCTAATGAAAAAAATTGTTTACCTTTTTTGTTACTGTAGGTACCTTATCGATTCCACTAATACCCATTAGTTTGAACATTTCCAAAATTTCTTTTTTAAGCGCATGATCTATCAGAGACTATCAATCTACAGAATTCCTGTTTATATTGTGGAGAAATAACGTATGTATGACATCATCTCATCAGACATACTCAACTCGCTAAGTACGTAAATCAACCCCCAGCGGTAAAACCAAAGACTTTTTTTGATCTCGACGAGAACAATGGAGGCACAAATCATTACTTACTTAACAATGAATCATCGTTCCATAAGGCATATTTCACATAGAAGTATACTTTTCGGGTATACGGTGCACGTTTTGCACGACACGCGTATTCCTAAAATCGAACAAGGTAATTTCATAATACCTGGTCACATAAGAGGACACTAATCGAAAACGAAGTATACCTGCGTATAGTAAAGTATAGTGTAGTATAGTGAGAACCGTGCTTGTTCGATTTTCAAGTAGTGTATACAGCCACGGCTGGTAGGATAAGAGCCAAATCTTCTTCGTCTGTCCATTTGATCGGCACAGAAAGAAAGAACCGAGTAGGTCACACGTGCTGTCCTATGTGATTCGCCGTGTAGCGAATAGCGAATACCGAGTAGTGTATACCGAATACCGTATACTTCTATGTGCACTCAGCCTTACAACCAGCTTTAACTTGGTACAGGTAATCTGAGAAAGGCGAACCGATGTATCTTACACGTGACTGTAAAATATATTATGTTACTTCCTTTTTATTCAATTTCACCAAAAATATGCCCAGTTCAGTTTCGGAAGGATGGTAATATCTAAAAGGAAGGACGGGCGGGTGAGAGATAAGCTTATTTCTAACAATTTGATACATGATCTGCTTATTTAAAGACACCGACAAACGAAACGAGGGCATCAATTGACCCATCTTCACAGTTTCAAGCTATTACCATCTTATATCTTGACTGCAGTAGCCACCTTTCTTGTATCACGGAATGCAGCGATTTGATTGTTGGTTGAACGCTAACGTATACAGCCAATCAGAGCTCTCGACGTAAAGACTGGAAATATTATGTCTTATTGTTCACAGTTTTCTGTCGAGGGCTCTGATTGGCTGTGTACGTTAGCGTACAACCAAATCGCTGCAACTACAAACGTCTGTAGGGCAAGAATTGCAGTAAAGCTTTTATACGAAGTTCGTAATATCTTGACATTGTGAAGATGCAAACGACTCTAATAAACGAACATGACTAATGTCATCAACTTGCGTAAAAACCTTTGCAAACATTATTTACAAATTAATGTACTATGCGAGGCTGTGTTGTCTTGATTTTTAATTGAATAATATTCTTTGTTTACTCAGTAACAGTGTATTTATTATTCACAGGCATCGACGAATATCAAGTTCTTTAAGCTTTCATAATCACAAGAGATTCGGTTACTAAGCAAAATCGTTATAGTGCACACTGCTTACAGGGGCGTACCTTGGGGCGTCTTAACACTAGAACTTTTCGAACAACCACCATCATGAAGTTTTGCTTCAACATTCATCCTATATTCGTCAATCTGCAAGATGAAAGTTGGACCAGCCCGACTGGCGCCACCACTGCTGTCTTCGTTATTCACCTCATTGGCGGGTGCGCCAGTGGGGGTACAGAGTGCCTCCCTATCTCATAGAAAAATGTTTTGTACATCTACTTCATTTATAACAAATTCAAACATATGAAATCATGATCTAATGATCTGAAAACATGATCTAATGATCTGAAAGCGTAGATCTATTGCTCTGAAAGCATGATCTAATTATCTGAAAGCATGATCTGAAAGCATGATCTAATGGTCTGAAAATAAGATTCAATGATCTGAAAGCATGATCTAATGGTCTGAAAGTATGATCTAATGGTCTGAAAGCATTATCTAATGGTCTGAACATATGATTCAATGATCTGAAAGCATGATCTAATGATCTGAAAACATGATCTAATGATCTGAAAGCATGATCTAATAGTCTGAAGGTATGATCTAATGATCTGAAAGCATGATCTAATGGTCTGAACATATGATTCAATGATCTGAAAGCATAGGTCTGAAAGCATGATCTAATGGCATGATAGCATGATCTTATGATCTGAAGGCATGATCTAATGATCTGAAAGCATGATCTAATGATCTGATAGCAAGATCCAATGGTCTGAAATTATGATCTCATGATCTCAAAGCATGATCTAATGATCTGAAAACATGACCTAATGATCTGAAAGCATGATCTAATGATCTGAATGCATGCTCTGAGACGTGTTTCTCTCATCGTCCTCAGGCACATAATGATAAGAGGTGATTGGCAAACTATTATATACATTAATGCTTATTATTTAGAAAACACAGGAGATTGTAATTGAATAATAAGCATTAATGTATATATAGCATCACCTCTTAACATTATGTGCCTGAGGATGACGGGGAAAACACGTCAAAAAGTTGCAAAAAATTTTAACCAGTCCGAATTTGATTGTTTATGTTTCTTAACTTTTGGGGCGTTAATAAAAGAGGCTGGTCAGCTTTCAAACTGTTTTACCATTTCAGAAATAGTGATGAAATTGCCCCTCTTCCCCCCTTGGAAAATTTTGTGTTTCCTACTCGGCCCCTCACCTAATGTTTCCAAGAGACGCCACTGAACAAAGGTAGTCACATCACTAATACAATTGTCATTTCTTTACACCATAAAGCAATTAAAGCAATAATTAAAATTAGACAATTTCGTTTTTATTTCTGTTATTTTTTCGTCTATATTGCAATCTCACGAATTCTATTCCGCAGTCACGTTGTATATAATTACGTTGATTCAAGCAATCATACCGTATAATCTGGAAAATGTGAGCAATTGGTAGATCTAAGATGAGAACCTACTGAACTACATATGGCTCCTACGTGGAAATGACAGAACCATACTTAGCTTCGCATGATCTAAGACGCATTCAATTCCAGGGGGTCATAATGTTCATCATATTTTTCAAATCAAATTATTGTACTGTTTGTATATTTTTATATTCTATAAATCCTATCTTATTTGAAGCATATTGGGCTATAATGAAACACAGACTGAGGAAAGATTTAATAACTTTTTCATAACAAAACATACATCATTCCCAGGGTGTCCACACTCCACCATGTAAAGCTGGGTTACATCTAGGATCAGGGTCGGGATAACGAGCCGGGATAGCTGTTTTACTATAGGCTGATAATTTAAATAACATTTTATCCACTATATCGGGATATTGTTGAGAAATATCGTGATTTTCATTGGGATCTTTTAAAATATTAAACAACCAAACGTTATCACTACGCGTGGATGGATCTAGCCTGGTATTATTCTTGTCTTCCGGTGGCGCGATCCAACTTCCGTTACCTAAAATAGATAATAAAATATTCGTAAAGATGAAGAAGTATTATAGTTTACAGGCATAACAATTTAAGTTCACTAAGAATCCTTTCTACCAACTGGTCTTTGTCCAAACCTCTTGACACCTACTCTACATCTCACATCTCACATCAAGACAGCGTGGGAAAAGGCGAGAAGGCATGGAAAAGGGCAAGAAGGCGAGAAGGCATGGAAAAAGGCAAGTAGGCGAGAAGGCATGGAAAAAGTCGAGAAGGCCCGGAAAAAAGCAAAATAGCATGGAAAAAGGCGAGAAGGCCTGGAAAAAGGCGAGAAAGCCCGGAAAAAGGCGAGAAAGCATGGAAAAGGGCGAGAACTCTAGAAAGCGAGAAAGGGAATAAATATTTCTCGTCTTTTCTTCTGGTTCTGACCTTTTCACTTTCTCGACCTTTTCCTAGCTTTCTCGTGGGAGAGAAGTCGAGAGTAGTGACTGTACGAACAGTCGAATGACTGTAGTCGACTTCAATGCAATAGACATACCTGGATCACCAGTAATGAGTTTAAAATCTCCCATTCTTAAAGCTGACCTGGTTCTAGTATCGAATGTATTATTATAACGTTTTGAACCCCGCTGACTGTATAAAGGATCTATATTATGTAACAATTCACTTCTTTGTCCTTCTGATCCTTCACTGAAAAGATAAAACTTTATAATTTGCAAGAAAATGTCATCGTTTCTTCAACACGTCTGACACCATTACATATTTATACCAAGTGGCCCTCATGGTTATACGTGGTATTCAAATCGACCAATCGATGGAAGTTAATTTTCTGTTTTTGTTTTGTAAATCAGAGCACACACACAAATAATATGACAGGTACCAATAATAAAGGTCCGCCACGTACGAAGCCATCTAGATAAAGAAAAACACGATACCATTGTATGCTGTTAAGGGAGTGTTGCTTAAACGACAATGGAATAAAACTTTATAATTTGCAAGAAAATGTCATCGTTTCTTCAACACGTCTGACACCATTACATATTTATACCAAGTGGCCCTCATGGTTATACGTGGTATTCAAATCGACCAATCGATGGAAGTTAATTTTCTGTTTTTGTTTTGTAAATCAGAGCACACACACAAATAATATGACAGGTACCAATAATAAAGGTCCGCCACGTACGAAGCCATCTAGATAAAGAAAAACACGATACCATTGTATGCTGTTAAGGGAGTGTTGCTTAAACGACAATGGAATAAGGACTGTAACGATGACGATGATTTTGCTGATGCTAATAATCATGATCATTGCCAGTAATGATAGAAATATAGCCATCCTACCGAATGATGATCATGATGATGATGATAGTGATGCTTCTGCTGATTATAAGGATGATGAATGGTGATGATAGTGATTCTGCTGTTGATTATAAGGATGATGAATGGTGATGATAGTGATGCTGCTGTTGATTATAAGGATGATGAATGGTGATGGATAATGATATCAGTAATGATGGAAATATAGCCATCTCACCTACTGATGATGATGATGGTGATGATGATGTTGATACAGCTGATGATTATGAGGATGATGGAGAGCGCCAGTAATGATGGAAATATGGCCACCTACCTGATGGTTTTCCACTGATCATATCCATCCAGTTTGGTTCCATTAAAAGATCCACCAGCGAGATTGAGAAATGTTGGAAACCAGTCAGAAACGTGGATCAGTTCTTTTCTAACTACACCTTTTTGTTTCAGTAATGGACTGTTGACAAATCCTATACCATGGAGGCCACCTTCCCATAACGTTGCCTTCCAACCTCTAAGAGGCCAGTTGTTTCCTCCAGCATGGATCTGGCCACCATTATCTGAAAATGATAAAGGCAAAATTCAATAGAAGGCCATATTGCCTGCTATTATAGCAATATACAACATGGAAACTAGGGCTATAGAGCGAGATAATACTCGGTCAAGGAACGGTGACGTTTCCATTAAAGGGGGCGGGGGCAATGAGATTTGCTCGGCATTGACCCAAATTCGAATCGTATCTAAAGTCATGTCATCTTTGTAAGCCCCCTTTGACATTTTTATGGCCCCTACTTGGACCTTTCACCTAATTATTGCCAGAAATCCACTGTTTGGGAACTCGTTTGCCCAATGAATTACCTGTTGTAAAGACCATAACAGTGTTGTCCCATAATCCCGCTTCTTTAAAGGCATTTGTAAGATTGGCCACACCTTCATCTAAAGCTGCTACCATACCTATCGTTACCAAAAAATAAAATCAGTCTGCGTATTTCTCAGTGATTAACCAAAGATACTTCCTATGCCAAATTACTTCCTTTCTCATCTCATCATCAGTTGTCCGATCATTCCAATGGGAATAGTTCACGTCGGTTATTTTTCTTTGGACACGAGATGGCGCTAATATATTAGCTACACGGTGTGCAAAATAAAAAGAAAAGGTAGCCACCTTTTGACACCTACCAGCATAAGCTCTTCTGCTCTTATTCTGAATAAATTCATATGGCTTGAGGTACTCGTCTGGCACTTGCAGAGGTTCGTGGACAGCTTGGTATGGCATATACAGAAACAGTGGCTGTGGAAAGGAAAATAAAAATGAAAACATCGAGTAAGAAAAAAGCTGAGAAGATTATCCTCCACCGATTCAACATCTGAAATTTGGATATGGAACAATTTGATGAACGGATTTCTCTAGACCTGGAGGTGGAAATCTCAGTCGTCTGAGTTGTCGTCTGCAAGGCGATTAGGTGACGTCTGTTCAAACCCTACCAAAGGCAAGATAAATTCTGACAACATGGTTGCTTCTGTCAGTCGGCGATTAACTTACCTAATTTCAGAATTTACATGTAAACTAATACCGTCCATTTAACGCAATAATCTGCCGTCAAATCGACGGGGGTTAATATGCCGTCCATTCCACTCAATAATCTACAAGCCTTTACCTTAGATTTATCATGCTGTTTAACGATATCAATAGCTCTATTAGTGAATAAATGAGTTGAATATTTTCCTGTTTCAGTGGTATCAGGTGTTTTACCATTCGTCATATCAATACCACAGTATCGTTCTTTGGTTAGGAAGCTACAAGTAGTATGTTTATAGTAATCTTCTGAACCGGTCAGATAGCCTAAAAAAACAAATATTAGCTATCTAGATGCTCCAAAATGGATACCCATACAAAACTAGAGTGTCATCAGGTGTTCCCAAGTCGGCATTTTGGTGTGTTATAAATTATATACCATATAAATAATATATGGACTCTCTGAAATAGATACCAGTTAACAAAACTGGTGTGATTCTCAGTCACAGAGTGACAAAATGTGTTCTGGAAGAATGAACACGACCAGCCTTATAAGATCACGTTTCTTAAAAATTGTAGGCCTATATTGTCCAAGTTCAACCCTTTTTTTTGGATAAAACTGAACTCTTTTGAACATCTATGGGATTTCAGGTGAGTCTTATTTCCACGATTTTTTTTTCAGTAAAGAGTTTTAGAGTTATTGTCCTTGATAAATTACTTCAAAACTGGCCAACGTAAAATTTTATTTCAATATGGCCCTCTCATATTGGTTGGCACCGAAGTTATTTTAATTGTTCAGGACAAAAATCCTTGGTTAGGTTGAGCAGCCTCAAGTCCTATATAATGCTAGTGTCCGCTTGAGTTTACACTCACCAAAATACGAATCAAATCCCCTGTTGATTGGAAGATATTCATCCTTATGAAATCCAAGATGCCATTTTCCAACAGCATGAGTAGCATACCCTGCCTCCCGTAGTTTATCTGCTATTGTTGGATCATCTACTGGTAAAGCGTTCGGCTGACAGGGCCAGATGATTTGATGTTGCAGACCAGTGTGGATCTGAAATAATGGTTCATAATCAATATCCGATGGCGTAGCGTTATGGAGGCAAATCATGTGAATTACTCACTTTTGTTACGAGCAAGCTCCCCTCTGTTTTCCCCATCTAAATTGGATTGCACTACTTCCATGATGCATGATGAAAAATGTAGTACCCGAAATGTGTACCGTATCCGGATGTGACATGACTCTCTTCAACCGTGGCATCGGAAGTTCGTGACTATATCTTATTGTGAAACCGACAGTAGTGACGTTACTGATTGGTGTTAACAAAACTAAGCATTTACCTGATAACGACCAGACAGAAGCTGACTTCTAGTTGGAGAACAAATTGGTTGAACATAATAATTCTCTAATTTCACACCTTCTCCTGCCAACTGATCCAAATTTGGCGTCTTGATTTCTGAACCATGGTAACCAATGTCATGGAAACCATAATCGTCTGCTACCACTAATAAAATATTTGGTTGTTGTGCTCCATTAATAATGTGAAAGCAAAGTACTACAGTCAACAAGACGTATTCTCTCAAGGCCACCATCTTTTTAAATATTTTCCTTAGATAAAACTGATAAATGATAAACTTTAGACTCGTAAAGAAAACTTTATCCACTCAGGAATAATCTGATTAAGTTTTGTTGATAAAGAACATAACCTTTTAATACTAAATAATAAATACACATGATATTATATAATCGTTCGGTGAACATGTACTTCTATGCTACATTGTTGTTTATGGTGATTAACTGTTATTTGCAGTTTGTTAAAGCAGCTCGCTGTCGTTTATAGTGACTCAAAATAGTTTATAATCGCTCTGTTTACTTTATAGTGGCTCAATGTACTTTATAATCGGTGTGTGCACTTTATAGTGGCTCAGTGTAGTTTATAATCGCTTTGTGTACCTAACAGTTTCTGGTTGTAGTTTATAATCGCTCTGTGTACTTTATAGTAGCTCATTATAGTTTATAATCGCTCCGTGTACTTTATAGTAGCTCATTTTAGTTTATAATCGCTCTGTGTACTTAACAGTCTCTGGTTGTAGTTTATAATCGCTTTGTGTACTTTATGGTTGCTTGTTATAGCTTATATCGCTCTGTGTACTTTATAGTGGCTCAGTGTAGTTTATAATCGCTCGTGTACTTTATAGTGGATCATTGTAGTTTATAATCGCTTTGTGTACTTTATAGTGGTCCATTATAGCTTTTAACAACTCCGTGTACTTTACAGTGGCTCATTGTAGTTCTAAAAGGATAGTTTCTTCTTTGCAAGTTGTAGATCCTTGGAATGTAAGGTAGTACATGTATAATTATATTATAGGTAATTTAATTCATTGTAAATTGAAAATTACTAGCTGGAATCATAATTAGCAATTAGTATTTTCAGAGTGACCAAAAATAAAAAATAAAACAGATTTATTACTTAATATAACAACGTAGAAAAATATAGATATAGAATAACAAAATTTGGTCTCATTCCCAGGGTGTCCACACTCCACCATGTAAAGCTGGGTTACATCTAGGATCAGGGTCGGGATAACGAGCCGGGATAGCTGTTTTACTATAGGCTGATAATTTAAATAACATTTTATCCACTATATCGGGATATTGTTGAGAAATATCATGATTTTCATTGGGATCTTTTAAAATATTAAACAACCAAACGTTATCACTACGTTTTGATGGGTCACGTCTGGAATGATTGGCCCGTTCCGGTGGGGCAATCCAACTTCCGTTACCTATAATAGAGATTTTGAAAATGTCAGGTCATCTACTAGTGTGTGCTGTGCGCTTCTGAAAAAAGAATTAGGACCATCTCATGTTATGGATCTTCAAGGGACCCAAAGATAAATATTGTTGCTCTTGATCATCATTGTTTAAGAAAAAAAAACATTGCTCACACTCTCATTTACTTGTTTTTTGCGATGAAAAATTATCATATTTCACTATTGGACATCCGGAAAGAGGCGTTCAGATATGATTCAAATGCAATGCAATACACATACCTGGATCACCAGTAATGAGTTTAAAATCTCCCATTCTTAAAGCTGACCTGGTTCTAGTATCGAATGTATTATTATAACGTTTTGAACCCCGCTGACTGTATAAAGGATCTATATTATGTAACAATTCACTTCTCTGTCCTTCTGATCCTTCACTGAAATCACAAAAATGTGATTATATGATAATTACTAAGATGATGAAGATGATTATTATAAACGTTCTGCTACTGTCATTGATCATGCTGATGATTTTGATGATGATTTTGATGGTGAAGCTAATGAGGTCGATGGTGAAGATGATGAAGATGATGATGTTGGTTTTGCTTCGGTCGTTGAAGATGATGCTGATGGTTGTACTGCCGGTGGTGATGATGATACGTCCGTCTCTCTTTCATTCCAATGCAGTTACTTCTGACGATGGTGACACTTCCAGCACAGATGGTGATTATGCTTGTGATTGTTGTGGTACTGTTGCAGCAAGGCCCTATTCATGTATTCTGGACTTTGTGTTGTTGCTGATGGTGGTTGATGCTGTCACTAAATGATGACTATGATAATGACGCTGTTGCTTGTGATAATGCTTTTGTCGTTTAATGCGTCTGTTGTATGGATATCATCATCAGTCACAGCTTCATAAGCAATACGTAAATTATAACAATTGCAGCAGCAGTATCTGTAGCACCATAACAATTGCTACTACTGATTGCATGTTTCACGGCCACCTACCTGATGGTTTTCCACTGATCATATCCATCCAGTTTGGTTCCATTAAAAGATCCACCAGCTAGATTGAGAAATGTTGGAAACCAGTCAGAAACGTGGATCAGTTCTTTTCTAACTACACCTTTTTGTTTCAGTAATGGACTGTTGACAAATCCAACTCCATGAAGACCACCTTCCCATAACGAGGCTTTCCATCCTCTCAGAGGCCAGTTGTTTCCTCCTTCATGTATTTGACCACCATTATCTAAAATTATGAATTAAATTGTAACAGTAGTTGAAATGGACAAGTTTAAACTTCGGCCAATTCCGTCCGCTGGCTTCCATGCAATATTTTTTGGAACTACATTGAATTTAGATTCAAAGTTCGCCCGTTAGTGTTTCATATCTACCTGTTGTAAAGACCATAACAGTGTTGTCCCATAAACCCGCTTCTTTGAAGGCATTGGTAAGATTGGCCACACCTTCATCTAAAGTTGCTACCATACCTATCGAAACATAAACAGAAGTAAATAATTGTAGAAAACAAAAATGTGTATTTTATAGCGTTTTCATTTGAGTAAAAACTATGTACAACTTCAATCAAAATCAATGAACATAATGTATGGTTTGAACGTCACAAAAAAAGTTTGCCAGGAAAGATAACATACGAGCAGCTGTGTTGAAAACCACAGAATAATCGGTAATAAATATGCACCCCACATTTTATACTATATCTGATCGCAAAATAGCCAATTAATAAAAATCATTTAAATATAGAATACATACCAGCGTACGTGCGCCTTCTCCAATCGTTGATATATTTATATGGTGTTATATATTTTTCTGGAACTTGAAGTGGACTGTGGACTGCTTGATATGGCAGATATATAAATAATGGCTGCACAAATAAAAAAAAAGCATTATATAACACAATTATATAACAATTTATAACACCCTTAATTCAGTAAATAAAACTGGGATAAAAGCAAGCAAAACAATTCCGTTAATCATGGCAGTAGGTAACAATTTCTGAATGGCGTTAAAACGAGCTATAAATATTGGTTTGGTAACTCTGAAAATGATAATAGTATACATCAGTATTCCCATTTTCAGGGCATGTTTGGTGGGAACGGTCAATCATGCGATAGTTAGAAGCAGAGAGCACCTGTGTTCTTTCCAACTGTTGATAGCAACCAGCAAACCAGAGAGAATCGAGCATGAGCGCATCGACCATTGAAAACATAAGTTACCGCTAGTTGCCATTAGCTGCTTTTCAGTTGGATCTGGTGGAGAAACAGTCGGATCTTGTAGTCGAACTTATATTCACCTACCTTAGATTTATCATGCTGTTTAACGATATCAATAGCTCTATTAGTGAATAAATGAGTTGAATATTTTCCTGTTTCAGTGGTATCAGGTGTTTTACCATTCGTCATATCAATACCACAGTATCCCTTGTGAATCAGAGAGCTACATCTGGTATGGTTATAGTAATCTTCTGCACCGGTCAAATATCCTTTAACATAATATATACAAAAGATGGCAAGTCTCATCAATGCGATCATCGGAAATGGTATTGGGTTTCATAGAGGGTACTCTTCATTAGAATGAACCACTGGCCTAGGTCACAAGAATTTTACATATTTATGATCACTTAGTAATGAAAATAAATTAAATATAAATCAGTGTAGACATGAGTTCTAAATGTCCAACTTCAGTTGAGACGCATGCTCCAATAGTTCAGTTGTTTGAAGATCGCATAGTGTCAAACTCTGAGTAACAACAACATGTTTTTTTGGTTCTGTTTTAATATTTCTATTAAATATATTATAATTATCAGCTTTCAACTATAATTCGATACCTGAGTAAGACTGGAAGGTTGGAAGAAGTGACTCAACAAGATGAGTGGGAGCCCTTTTCCTGGAATTTTTGACACATACATACTCTCCTATAGGGTGGGGGAGGGGTTTGCTCAACCTGTTCTTAATGTAGTTGAGCAACACTGGTCGGAAGAACTCACCAAAATAAGAGTCAAACCCTCTGTTGATTGGAAGATATTCATCCTTATAAAATCCAAGATGCCATTTTCCAACAGCATGAGTAGCATACCCTGCCTCCCGTAGTTTATCTGCTATTGTTGGATCATCTAATGGTAAAGCATTCGGTTGACATGGTCTTATTATACTATGTTGTAAACCAGTATGTATCTGAAACAGACCTCATATCTAATAAGATGCTAGCATGAGCAAAGTAAGTTTAGATACTGCCATGTTCCTTCAGCAGCAGTACGATAATAATCTACAGTACCGTTGCTTAAGGAACATAAGATAATTTTGGAATTCAATTATCTCTTAACCACAATCTGCATTCTACGAGTTTATTTCGCAATGGAATGCAGGTGCATACTTGTATACTACAGACAATGTAAGAAAAGTATCTTTAACTGTTTGTAATCACATCGCGTACATGTAATTGAATTCCTTGATCGGAGCCAATAAGTAACTTACAGAAAAACCTGACAGCTGACATAACGCATTGTCGCCTGTGGATAACGAAAACCAAAAGAGGCTGTCATGAAATCATTGGGATAATTTACACTAAAAAAATGATGGCCTACCTGATAACGACCAGACAGAAGCTGACTTCTAGTTGGAGAACAAATTGGTTGAACATAATAATTCTCTAATTTCACACCTTCTCCCGCCAATTTATCTAATGTAGGTGTCTTGATTTCTGAACCATGGTAACCAATGTCATGGAAACCATAATCGTCTGCTACCACTAATAAAATATTTGGTTGTTGTGCTCCATTAATAGTGTGAAAACAAACCGCCACAGTCAACAAGACGTATCCTCTCAAGGCCTCCATCTTTGTTTAAGTAGAGGCGGCCTTCAACATAGATAACTGATAAATAATTAATACACTTAATAACTATATAATATAAATTGTAACATACAATAATAAAATATTTACACTGTTAAAATAGTGCTAAATACATCAATGGTAGATTGATATAGAAATACCACTGTTAAAATAGTGCTCAATACATCAATTGTAGAGTGATATAGAAATACCACTGTTAAAATAGTGCTCAATACATCAATTGTAGAGTGATATAGAAATACCACTGTTAAAATAGTGCCCAATACATCAATTGTAGAGTGATATAGAAATACCACTGTTAAAATAGTGCCCAATACATCAATTGTAGAGTGATATAGAAATACCACTGTTACAATAGTGTTCAGTACATCAATTGTAGAGCGATATAGAAATAACACTGTTAAACTAGTGCTCAATACATCAATGGTAGATTGATATAGAAATACCACTGTTAAAATAGTGCCCAATACATCAATTGTCGAGTGATATAGAAATACCACTGTTACAATAGTGCTCAATACATCAATTGTAGAGTGATATAGAAACACCACTGTTACAATAGTGCTCAATACATCAATTGTAGAGAGATACAGAAACACCACTGTTACAATAGTGCTCAATACATCAATTGTAGAGCGATATAGAAATACCACTGTTAAAATATTGCTCAATACATCAATTGTAGAGTGATATAGAAATACCACTGTTAAAATAGTGCTCAATACATCAATTGTCGAGTGATATAGAAATACCACTGTTACAATAGTGCTCAATACATCAATTGTAGAGAGATACAGAAACACCACTGTTACAATAGTGCTCAATACATCAATTGTAGAGCGATATAGAAATACCGCTGTTAAAATGTTGCTCAATACATCAATTGTAGAGTGATATAGAAAATACCACTGTTAAAATAGTGCTCAATACATCAATTGTCGAGTGATATAGAAATACCACTGTTACAATAGTGCTCAATACATCAATTGTAGAGTGATATAGAAACACCACTGTTACAATAGTGCTCAATACATCAATTGTAGAGAGATACAGAAACACCACTGTTACAATAGTGCTCAATACATCAATTGTAGAGCGATATAGAAATACCACTGTTAAAATATTGCTCAATACATCAATTGTAGAGTGATATAGAAATACCACTGTTAAAACAGTGCTTAATACATCAATTGTAGAGTGATATAGAAATACCACTGTTACAATAGTGCTCTGTACATCAATTGTAGAGCAATATAGAAATACCACTGTTAAAATAGTGCTCAATACATCAATTGTAGAGTGGTATAAAACTTAATTATCTTGAATCATGTTTTGACTCAGTTATGCGATTTGACCTATTTTCCTGACCTGCGTCCCTACTGAAGTTGGACAAGTAGAACTCCTCCTCATGCTACATTTCGAGACGAGTTCAGAACGTTCGTATATTTTATTAGTGACCAAGAACCCTATCGCATCTAGATATAGGCCTTTAATCAGTTACTAGTCACAAAACTGACCATAGATTTTAATACAGATTTAGATTTTACTGATGGTGACTTCACTTGACATCAATGATCATACGTAATTTTCAAGCCACTAATGTTCTAGGTGAATAAAAAAAATTTAACATTCGTCTATTTGACTATTGCCCTCTCCAACACTGGAATGTGACTAGAACGAAAGGTGCATTCAGTGTTTTCTGGGAATACAAAACATAATTTAGAGAGTCATGAACTCTAAGTGTTATAACCCTCAGAAAGCAACAGAAATCAGAACAATTAGATCTGCAGAAAAATCTGTAAAATCTGTTGGATTAATCCAAGATCAACAAAGCTCACTGCTATTACAAATGAAACAAACCAATTTACAAAATACAAAAAAGATTTATTCATAAACATTATCATAAAATAAACAAAACATAATGACATCATTCCCAGGGTGTCCACACTCCACCATGTAAAGCTGGGTTACATCTAGGATCAGGGTCGGGATAACGAGCCGGGATAGCTGTTTTACTATAGGCTGATAATTTAAATAACATTTTATCCACTATATCGGGATATTGTTGAGAAATATCGTGATTTTCATTGGGATCTTTTACTATATTAAACAACCAAACGTTATCACTACGTTTTGATGGATCTGGTCTTGAATGATTGGCCTGCTCAGGTGGTGCGATCCAACTTCCGTTTCCTAAAATAGAATGGCAATAAAATTCAAATATAAATGTAGGCTTAAAACACACACCAAATCAATCGTTACTTTCACGTCGCTATCACCAAATAGTAGTAAAGTCAAAAGTCACCAATTAGCAGTAAACATTATTAAATGTACCTACCTGGATCACCAGTAATGAGTTTAAAATCTCCCATTCTTAAAGCTGACCTGGTTCTAGTATCGAATGTATTATTATAACGTTTTGAACCCCGCTGACTGTATAAAGGATCTATATTATGTAACAATTCACTTCTTTGTCCCTCAGATCCTTCACTGAAATTTAAAAACAAAAAACAAATATAAAACAAACAACCATTTGTTACAAGGTCTTTACATAAGTTCACGAAGATCGTGTGTACTAGCCTGATAGCATTGATCTTTCCCGAAAATATCCGAACCAATTTACAGATTGGTCAATTGGGATAATGAGTAAACACCACCAGAAAATACAAATTATAACGCTCTAATGTTTTATGCCACTTCTGATGATGCCACTGCTTCCAATGCTGCTGCTCCTTCTGTTACCGATACTGCTGATGATGATGCTACTGCTTCCAATGCTGCTGCTTCTGTTACCGATACTGCTGATGATGATGCTACTGCTTCCAATGCTGCTGCTCCTTCTGTTACCGATACTGCTGATGATGATGCTACTGCTTCCAATGCTGCTGCTCCTTCTGTTACCGATACTGCTGATGATGCTACTGCTTCCAATGCTGCTGCTCCTTCTGTTACCGATACTGCTGATGATGCTACTGCTTCCAATGCTGCTGCTCCTTCTGTTACCGATACTGCTGATGATGATGCTACTGCTTCCAATGCTGCTGCTTCTGTTACCGATACTGCTGATGATGCCACTGCTTCAAATGTTTTTTTCCTGCTTTTACAGATTTTGATGGTCTTGATACTGATGATGTTGTTGCGCGTGATAATGAAGGTACTGTTGCTGGTGATACTGATTGTACTGTTGCTGCTTCTGGTGCTTTTGCTTCTGTTGCTGATACTACTGTTGCTGATGCTACTGTTGCAGATACTATTGTTGCTGATACTATTGCTTTTGATGGTGCTAATACTGATGATATTTACTGATACTTCTGATACGGCTGGTTTTGCTGCTGATACCGCTGGTGCTGTTGCTGCTGATACTGCAGCTACTGATGGAAATGTGGATGTTGCTGCTTCTGATGTTGCCGCTGCTACTGATACTTCTGTTTCCAATGATGATGATTCGGATTGTACCGTTGAAGCTGGTGCTGCTGCTGGCACTGGGATGATAATACTGATCACAACAAAGACGAAAGATAAAATTCAAGTTTACCTGATGGTTTTCCACTGATCATATCCATCCAGTTTGGTTCCATTGAAAGATCCACCAGCTAGATTGAGAAATGTTGGAAACCAGTCAGAAACGTGGATCAGTTCTTTTCTAACTACACCTTTTTGTTTCAGTAATGGACTGTTGACAAATCCAACTCCATGAAGACCACCTTCCCATAACGAGGCTTTCCATCCTCTCAATGGCCAATTGTTACCACCAGCATGTATCTGGCCACCATTATCTAAAATCATATCATTGATTAAAGCGTCGAATTGCTTACAGCTATAGAGGTTATATGTTACTTTTGATAAGACTTTTTATATACAGCTTGGCCGAGCTATGATGATCAAGCTAAAGACAAATCAAAAATAACATTTACTGTATCCTGCGGTAGAAAGATCCTTAGATGCTAATCTACTAAATTCCAAGGCACTATGAAGAACCTAATTGCATTCTTCAGCAACGATATACGGATACAGAACTATGCACCTCCAGCGAGATATCTAACCGTAAATTGTTTACAAAACACTAAATTGAAGTAATGTTCCTAGTGGCCTGAGTGGTATGAGGGACTCCTATGGTGTCCATTGGACCAAGGGGGGTCATGTTCACCAGGGTTAGGAACAGAATTCTTATGGGATCGGTAAAAATGACTAGTGATCCTGCTTTAAAACTTTTGGAACTATTGGTTGGGTGTAGTCAACATATTATATGTGTACCTGTTGTAAAGACCATTACAGTGTTGTCCCATAAGCCTGCTGCTTTAAAGGCATTTGTAAGATTGGCCACACCTTCATCTAAAGCTGCTACCATACCTATCGTTAAAAAAACATTCTGGTATGATCTGAATATTACTGGTGCTTGCAACGGATAAATAGCTTCGTATAACATGCACAAAAGACTGTGAATCAGTGAAAAAAATGGCTATAAATTAAAATCATTTAAATATAAAATACATACCAGCGTACGTGCGCCTGCTTTGATCGTTTATATATCTATATGGTGCAACGTATTTTTCTGGGACTTGAAGCGGATTATGGACGGCTTGATATGGCAGGTATAAAAATAAGGGCTGATTAAATAAAAAAAAGTTAAACAGATAAAGTTTTCTAAATATTCAATTTTCAAATAAGTAAGTGAAGTAATCTGTAAGGGCGTGTTCAGAGGTTTTATATTGGAAACAATGATAGCCTTGATTTGCACCAATTCAGATGTTTTCAGCTAGACTTTTGTGGTATTTGCAAAACTAAGACTCCGGATAATCCGGAAAAGATCAATGCCAAGAGGTCTGGCCAAGGAACAAGGACTTGTATTGTGTGAGACCACAAAATTACACATGGTGTAATACTCGCTTACCTTAGATTTATCATGCTGTTAAACGATATCAATAGCTCTATTAGTGAATAAATGAGTTGAATATTTTCCTGTTTCAGTGGTATCAGGTGTTTTACCATTCGTCATATCAATACCACAGTATCCCTTGTGAATCAGAGAGCTACATCTGGTATGGTTATAGTAATCTTCTGCACCGGTCAAATATCCTGGAAATATTCAATATCAGTGGCGTAGCGGGGATTTCATTGGGGGCGGGGGGTATCCAGTGTTCGATATACCTTTGCCGATCCCCTGGAAACCTTTCTAATGTGGCTAACCGGAGAATACATCTAACACGATTTTGGGAGTATAAGTAGAATAAATTTGTCATATTAATGGACCGAGAGGGAGGGGGCATGACCACAAATTACTGTCTATATAAACAGCTTCGCATGAATTTTAGCTAATCAAAAAGATTTTTCGAAGTTGCGTATTAACAAAACAAACCGATACGTTTCCGCTCGTATAAGCGTCTAATAAAGTAATAACTGTTACCGTTAACTATAATTGAGCTGGGACAAACTTCTATTATTTAAACACATGATTCAGCTTTTTGTAATTTTGTTACTCACCGAAATAAGAATCAAATCCTCTGTTGATTGGAAGATATTCATCCTTATAAAATCCCAGATGCCATTTTCCAACAGCATGAGTAGCATACCCTGCCTCCCGTAGTTTATCTGCTATTGTTGGGTCTTCTAATGGTAAACCATTTGGCTGACATGCCCATATAATGTCATGTTGTAAGCCAGTATGTATCTATAATAAAGGTCAATAATTGACACGAAATTCCACATCGCTATTACCATTCTCAAGAAAATACGACGTATATTATGGCACCGTTTAATATACCATAGTCATTTTTCAAATTTAATTGCATTATTTCCGAAATCATCTGGTAAAAGCACAATGCCATGCTATTACGTCATATAAGATTAAGTTTGTAATAGCTTGTAAGGCGAAATACTATGACTCTATCCCTCTATCAATAGTTTGAAAATGAACTTTTTTTAAAAGCGCCATTGATTTACGTTTGACTAGGAAATCACACTCATAGGTTTGAACTAGCCCCATCAGTCATGGGAACTCCTATTGTCGGTGATTTCGATAGTCGGATGAATTTCTCCAATATAAATGTTTTATCTTTTCTCCAGGAAAAAAAAACAAAATTTTACTCACGTTTAAGCCTTTTGACACACCCCTTATGATAAAAAATGAGTTGTTGGACAAAAAAAAGAACACCCCGATTAAGCAAATGAACTCTTCTAACATTATATCATATTGACTGGAAAAGCACGTGTCGGTTGAAGAGTCCATTACAGGTTGGGGGATGTCGAATACATGACTTGCCTGCTATCTATAGCCTTGCACTTCTGATGAAACTAAATAAATTACGACGACTAACAAATTTCCAACCTACCTGATAACGACCAGACAGAAGCTGACTTCTAGTTGGAGAACAAATTGGTTGAACATAATAATTCTCTAATTTCACACCTTCTCCCGCCAATTTATTTAATGTTGGTGTCTTGATTTCTGATCCATGGTAACCAATGTCATGGAAACCGTAATCGTCTGCTACCACTAATAAAATATTTGGTTGTTGTGCTCCATTAATAGTGTGAAAACAAAACGCTGCAGTCAACACGAGGTATTCTCTCAAGGTCACCATCTTCTTGGAACTACAGACGACCTTTATCAACAATACAGATAATAATTCATAAATTCAATAACCAAATCATTTACTAATATATATGATACCATATATAGGTTATCATCAGACCGAAACGCATTTACAACAATACAGATGACAACTCGTTGGCCTATTAACAGTCAGACAAATAAAAGTAGAGGGGTGGGGGTCTTCATCCGAGCGTCCGAGCGCCCCTTTGTCACTAGTCTTGGTGATGTGTTAAGGGTTTGGAAAATCTTCTTAATATACATCTTAAAGGATTTCGGAAATGAAGCAGATTAAAAAAAATTAAAAAACCTCTTTACAACCCCTATTAGAATCAAAACAAAGCAATATACAGAATACTGAAAAGGTTTATTAACAAATGGCGTAATACATTATAAGAAAAAGGTAACACAAAATGACTTCTTCCCATGACGTATTCTCTCGAGGCCACCATCTTCTTTAACTTCCGACCTTTATCAATATAGATAACTGATAAATAATGAAATCATATACAGAGGTCTACATAATGTATGACATAAGAGATAATGAAACCGGAAACGCACCCAGATCATAACTACTAAGACTGTTGATACCTTGTAAGGACTGTTTTCTGTGGATAGTGGCGGCGTCACTGGGGGTAGAGTATTTGTATTGAGCACTATTTCTTTATCGCTCTACAATTGATGTATTGAGCACTTTTTTACTGTGATATTTCTTTATCGCTCTACAATTGATGTATAGAGGACTATTTTAACAGCGGTAGTTCTATATCAATCTACAATTGATGTATTGAGCACTATTTTAACAGTAATATTTCTATATCACTCTACAATTGATGTATTGAGTACTATTTTAACAGTGGTATTTCTATATCAATCTACAATTGATGTATTGAGTACTATTTTAACAGTGGTATTTCTATATCAATCTACAATTGATGTATTGAGCACTATTTTAACAGTAATATTTCTATATTACTCTACAATTGATTTATTGAGTACTATTTCAACAGTGATATTTCTTTATCGCTCTACAATAGATGTATAGAGCACTATTTTAACAGTGATATTTCTTTATCGCTCTACAATTGATGTATTGAGCACTATTTTAACAGTGGTATTTCTATATGGCTCTACAATTGATGTATTGAGGACTATTTTAACAGTGGTATTTCTAATTACACTATAAATCATGTATTGAGCACTATTTTAACAGTGGTATTTCTATATCGCTCTACAATTGATGTTTTGAGCACTATTTTAACAGTGGTATTTCTTAATCGCTCTACAATTGATGTATAGAGCACTATTCTAATAGTGGTATTTCTTTATCGCTCTACAATTGATGTACTGAGCACTATTTTAACAGTGATATTTCTTTAACGCTCTACAATTGATGTATTGAGCACTATTTTAACAATGATATTTCTATATCGCTCTACAATAGATATATAGAGCACTATTTTGACAGTGATATTTCTTTATCGCTCTACAATTGATGTATAGAGCACTATTTTAACAGTGGTATTTCTATCTTGCTCTACAATTGATGTATAGAGCACTATTTTAACAGTGGTATTTCTATATCGCTCTAAAATTGATGTATTGAGTACTATTTCAACAGTGGTATTTCTATATCGCTCTACAATTGATGTATTGAGCCCTATTTTAACAGTGGTATTTCTATATCGTTCCACAATTAATGTATTGAGCACTATTTTAACAGTGGTATTTCTATATCACTCTATAATTGATGTATTGAGCACTATTTGAACAGTGGTATTTCTATATCACTCTACAATTGATGTATTGAGCACTATTTCAAAAGTGGTATTTGTATATCGGTCTACAATTGATGTATTGAGCACTATTTTAACAGTGGTATTTCTATATCACTCTAACCAATTGATGTATTAAACAGTATCTTAACAGTGGTATTTCTATATCACTCTATAATTTATGTATTGAGCACTATTTTAACAGCGGTATTTCTATATCGTTCCACAATTGATGTATAGAGCACTATTTCAACAGTGGTATTTCTATATTGCTCTACAATTGATGTATTGAGCACTATTTTAACAGTGGTATTTCTATATCACTCTACAATTAATGTATTGAGCACTATTTAACAGTGGTATTTCTATATCACTTTATAATTGATGTATTGAGCACTATTTTAACAGTGGTATTTCTATATCACTCTACAATTGATGTAATGAACACTATTTTAACAGTGATATTTCTATATCACTCTACAATTGATGTATTGAGCACTATTTTAACAGTGGTATTTCTATATCACTCTACAATTGATGTATTGAGCACTATTTTAACAATGGTAATTCTATATTGCTCTACAATTGATGTATTGAGCACTATTTTAACAGTGGTTTTTCTATATCACTCTACAATTAATGTATTGAGTACTATTTAACAGTGGTATTTCTATATCACTTTATAATTGATGTATTGAGCACTATTTTAACAGTGGTATTTCTATATCACTCTATAATTGATGTATTGAGCACTATTTTAACAGTGATATTTCTATATCACTCTATAATTGATGTATTGAGCACTATTTTAACAGTGATATTTCTGTATCGCCCTTCAATTGATATTGGCCCTTGGAGTTCTAATTTAACATTGAAAATATTTTATTATTGAATTTTAGAATTATATAGGTTAAGCGTCTCTCATATTACAAGTAGCTAATATCTTATATAAATAGTATAGTATACTTCTGGTTTATCAATTTCCAATCATCGAAAAACTTTTCATGTATCGATTATTTAATGTTCAATTATTTTTTAGTTAATTTTCACGTGCATTTATCTATAGGAAGTGGGTAAATTTCACGCAAAATTACGTTATATAGACTAAATTTCGTTCAAAAACAACCTTTAGGCCTACAAAGATGGGTAGAACGGTGAAATGACAAAACATAATTATACAGTGGTGTAACCTATTTTCGTGCATATAAGGATTCAACACCGAATTTCGTCAAAGTTATAAAAACAAAACAAAAAATGTCTTAGATGTTTCCTCAGATATTCTACAAAATAATTAAAATTTGTTTGTTTCGATTCACTTTAACTAGCGACAATTCCTTCAAAGAACGATTTTTAAAAAAAATTGTGACTGTCAAAATAAGATACGTAGCGTGATTTATTGTTAAAAGTCACTGAAACAACATAAGAATATGGCCCACTTTGTGTTCCATAGAAATTTTCTGCTGACATGGAATCCGTTAGTTGATCACGTGACTTCATTCGTTGGACTACATTCTAGCAGACGACACTTGGAATTCCGATTACCGCTTGGGATTATAAGGAAATTCGGCCGATAAAAAAAGGTGACGTTTGGTAATAACTGAAATCCGCTATTTTGTATTTGTCAAAGTATACATTAATACATTTTACCTTGCTTGATTCATTCTAATAGCTGATATTGTAGAGATAACCCATGTTTATCGAAACAAGCAAATGCGGAGGTCACGCGAGGTCGCATGTGCAAATTATAAACCTTTCCGGAAATGCACGAAAAATAGGTTAGCACGAAATTAGGTTACTTGACTGTATAAGTTTAGAGAGTAATTTGTATGGATACCTTACTTACCCCAACGTGACGTCGTTAAGACCATTAACCTATGCACGGAAGTTTTCGAATACTGTAGTTCAATATAAACAACAGTCTATAAGCGCAATGCAAAATCTAATCACGAACCTTTATTAAAACTACGACTGACTTGTTTGCTGAGGTTTCTTCTATTATTACGAAACGACTCGAGAAACGGTCTGTGATTTTGAACGCATGAATAGGAGTGAGTGGGTTTCAGTAGATCTGTTTCTAAGCATATAAGTCTAAATATTGCTCCTTATTGAAACACCAACACCTTTTACTCACGAAAATACATCTCCATTGAAAAAGGAAACAGGAAATCAATACAAATCACAACAAAAATCGAAAGTAGTCTGATTGATAATTTGTTACGGATTGAATAATAATCAGCGCAACTCACTGAAATATGATAAACCTTCATTGTGATAAGATTTTTTCACTATGCAAGCCCTTGTACAAGACAACAAACAATGGCATACACAAAATGTAAGCATCATTCATACGCCTTTTTAAAAAATGGAGGATATATTATACAGTGTCCTAGTCCGAAACATCTACCTCTATTCCAGCTTCTGATAGTTTGACAGTTTGTCGACTGGAGTAGAGTCAGAAAAAATATTTTATGGAAGTATTTTACACCTCCAAATGTGCGTTTTTTAAAAACAATTATTAAATTATTTTTACGATGACTGTAAATAATGTTCGGGAAGGAAGGGCTTGATTGTCCCAAATGTACAGGCCACACAATCTTAAATGACCGACCGGAGTTTACTTTTGTTAAAAAAAAAACTTTGATGAAAACATAGACGTGACAATGGTTAAGGGGTATAATGATGGTACACCAGTCAACAACTTTCAAAATAGCTATCAGAGACTGGAATATATTCAGAGGTTTCCGACTAGCAGTGCCCCTGTCACAATCCTTACTTCTATTTCGATGTTTGAATTGTTCTCTAAACCAAAACTGGAATATTCTTACTGAGCTTTCATTGGTTAATAATCTCGCTATCTAATCGAATTTAAGTATTTTATCAACTGAGTTAGAATTCACCTCGTGAGCTTAAAGCTAATAGGTTGAAGAATGGCCCCGGGAACGAGTTTCATTGGTGTGTAACATATATATCAAATAAACAATATATTCTAATCCTTATTATACAGAAGATTTCTACAGTGGAATAGCTTAGTCGATAGGAGTTGGATTGTCGTCCAAGGCGATGAGATGCCGTGGGTTCGAATCCTCCTAAAGGTCAGAATAAAATTCTGATGCATGACCAATTCTCCAAGAGTTTCAACTCCAATACCTATTTGAATATACAATCTATTTTCGTATTTCCGATGATTGTGTAAGTAAATTAGTACATTTGACCTTTGACCCTTGACTAGTTGTTAATGTTGTAATTTTGGAGAATTGTCTCGTGTCAGAAAGGAAATCCTACGACTTATTCATCTCGTACAGAATCCGTCCGGGTTAACAGTAATATTTCATAATACGTAGACATACTTCCCAATTAACATCATTTTTGACTGAGGCTCGTCTTTAGAAGATGGTGAAAATGAGCCGATATGGAATATGTATGGTAATTTATGTTTTGGTTGTCATGGTAACCAATGTTCAGAGCCAAATCAGTAAGTATATCATGTAAATATTTCGATGAATACGTTGTTTAAGTAGAAAAATAACAGATAGATATTTTTGAATTTCAGTCCCTCTAAAATAAGCATTGTGACGGATGTCCCTAACGAGGCGGGACATGCTGACATTTCCGATGAATCGCCTGATGCCACCGGGGACCTAGATTTGTAATCTTGTCATCTAGAACCCGTTTGTTGATAACAAAACGAATTATAGGATAATAAAACCCATAATACAGCTTTATGGGATTCCACGCTATCCCACAATGCGTCATTGTATTCAGGACTCGGATCCTACATAACACTTTTTGATTGGTTAAAAAATTTCGTTAGAACGGTACTATGGTAGAAAAGTTGTTCGATTTATATCTTGATTGGTCGTTTATTTTTTCGTTTTCCTTATGATCATATTTGAAATTTTGCAGTGAATCTGACGTTCAGAGAACGAAAATATTCAATCTTCAATACAACAGGAACGTTTAGTCAGATGGAAAGATTTTGTAGATCAAATCAGGCAATCATAGCTCCAGCCAGAACACTACAGGAAAACAATTTTCTGTATAATATGAGGTAAGTTCAGACCATGCCTAGTCTTTGTCATACCGAGATATTTAGCTTTTGTCACACCCCATGGAGAAGGCCATGGAAGGTCGTCCCAGGCAGTAGCTGCACTTTCGGGGTGAATTTTTCATTCCAAATCTTGAATAGAGAGCCAGTGCGCTTAAAGCCTGTCTTTGATATTGTCAGGTTTTGAACATTGTCCTATGAAATGCGATGGGATATGTACATGTGGATGGGTTTCTGGTCTTTGAACAGGGAGCACCTGTTGAGCATGGAAAATCCAGTAATATCAAGGTCTTCGTTTATTTAAGAAACATAGCTGGATTTAGTAATTCTAGAATATGGATTGGTGGTGATGATAGAAACGGGACTGATGGTGTTTATTTTTGGTCAGATGGTTCACCTTTGAACTTTACAAACTGGATAGGAAGTAAGCATAAAGGATCGATTCCTCGAATTCCTCTTGTTTTATCTTGAACATTAACGACAAAAACGACATGTAAATCATTAGAAATACAATCCTTGGATATTTAAAATCCATGATATCAACAATAACCTATTTTCGTGCCATATTGTACTTCCGGAAGGTCGTTTCAGATTTTTTACTGACCTGAACAAATCTCAAAGTCATAAAATAGCCAACATTGCTCCTTCACATTATAACGATTTATGTTATTAAAATCGAACACATAGGCTACATCTTTATCTCATTAACCGAATAGTCATAAAAGATATAAGGAAATTGAGAATCTGTCTTTGCATTTACACGACCAAACCTGATTTTAATATTGATTTTTCAACAGGAGAACCACACAACGCTGGAGGTAGAGAGGATTGTATGGTAATGGAAGCTGAATTCACCAGTAAAAAACAACAATGGAATGATATTTCATGTGAAGAATTTAAACATAGAGCCATTTGTATGAAATTTCAGGGTAATTTTAACTTCTTTTTAACTTTTAGCTATTGAAAATTTAAGAGGTCATCGACATTTTGGTGGATGTCCGGAGCACGGATGTTTCCCATAGACATTTAAATACTGATTTCATTAAAAATAGATACCAAATTGGTATTAAGGTGTTAGATATTAATTATTCTTCTTTTAGAATTGTTTTCAGGAACTGGATAGCTTATTGGTGGCGAAACCTAGCCTCTCTTGTTTCAGATCTACCGTTTCAGACCAGCCGTAAACCATGATCATGAGTATTTGCATGCCATTGTCAAAAACTCTTTCTTTCAGTGCATGTATTGATTTATTACAATGAAAGACTACAGTTGTAAGTTCTGAGATTTGTTGACTCTATATCTGGCCTCTGATAGGCCATCAAGTAGGACTTAAAACTCCATTCATTTCATTTCCGATAGGCCATCTTCACAATGGTCAAGGTATTACGTACGGTTTTCCTGCTCGGTTCCTGGTCGTTTCACGTTTTCATTGGTCGTTTCCTGGTCGTTTCTGCTCGTTGCCTGGTCATTTCTGGTCGGTTCAAGTCGGTTCATGTTTTAGTAAGTACGAATTACGCCTTCAGATTCTACCTTGACTGCAATGGTCGACTTTCTTGTTTCACAGTTTGTGAATGCTGCAATTTGATTGGATTGTACGCTAGCGAATGCAGCCAATCTCAGCCCTCAACAGAAAGACTGTTGAAAAATAATTACGCAATAAAGTGGGCCATTGCAATCAAGGTATAACTATAAGATTAAGACGTAATAGATTGACCATAGTGAAGATGTCTATCTGTATTATATGTATTACCATAATTGTATAGTATATCTGATAACAATAGACAAATCGATTGGTATAATGCAATCGGTGGTATACGTCTGAATCAGGTAAGTAAAATTGCATTTCTAACAGTTTGACGAAAGTTTATAAACTAACACAAGACTGAGCTAAATTTCAACTGAATTTGTTCGGACGGGAACAGGTAGGCCTGAAATTTAGATCGATCTTGTGTATCTGGACTGAAGTGTTCCTACAGGAAGGTAAGTCATTATGTGTGATAAGGTGTTTGTGTGACTATATTGAGAGAACATCGGCAACAGCAATTATTGTTAGCAGTCCAGTTGCAATGATACCGAAACAACGGATGAGAGCGGTATTAGTACATGTTTATGGAATCCATGACTCATAGCAAAATATATGTATACTAAGTCCAGCGCACACTCAAATACCTGCGATGGAAAACTGTCAGTGTGGTCCATTACAGCTTGCGACAAAATTAGTAGGGATGCTTTAGTAGCGTATATCGGTATATAAAAGTGTATAGATGATTGGTCATGAGACAAAAACCTCCGCTTATCCTACCAGAAGGGAATAAAACTGGAGTTTCCAAAAATTTTCACTACCGCCGTGGTCCTACATTATCGCAGAGGTTGAATGGTAACCACCCAACCATTGGTGTGATAGGATGTGTTTTGTGTGCGAAGCGAAGAAATGACCAATATCTAAGTAATTCGAACTCGATATTTTGTATAGGTATTCTGCAGCAGTAATGGTGGCTCACTGCTATCGTATTCACTTGTAAAACTTCGGAATTTTGTTTGTTTAAATTTATTTTTTTATATGATTTTTATTGTTGATTTTAATGGAAAATTGAATTATTTAGATATAATTTATGAAACGAACTATTAATTATCGCAGTATTAAAATCATTATATTAATTATCTGTTGTTAATTGAATTTGATTAAAATGTACTTCAAGATACTTTGTTTTGTTTCGTGCGTTTACTGTCGGTTATCATTTTCAAAAGTACACAATGACAGCTATGAGGCCAGTCCAATGAATGTCGTGCTAATTGTAAGCTGTCGATCCAATAGGCCTAAGTGAAGGTCTCTGAGGTTTAACAATTGGTGAAAGCTTGAAACCATTGATTAATCACTTTATTTCTGCTCATGTATTGGCTATATTGTGAAAACCATTCCGTAGAGTACTGTTGTTGTCCACGTTGGAAAGATTTCATTAATTGACTCAACCCAAATAAACTTTGCAGTAAAAACGGTGTCGATTTAAGCCAAATATTTCCAATCTCGCGTCTTCTATGCCCATGGTGATGTATACAAAGAGCTGATGGCTAGATAGAATCAAGCTTATAACATCCAAAATATAGATATAAATATCTGATATGTTAAAAGAAAACCACTTGAGATTGTAACCGGCGTGAACCAACCGGAAGTTCATACTGGTTAGAGGAAATTTCACATTAAGTTGACGTCAAGTTAGTCTAATTAAAAATAGATTACAGTATTGTAATTTGTCCTCTGCTTTGTATGATAGCCTGTCCGCTATCCAACAATTCGTCATTGTATTGCCATGAGAGGACATGGAGGCGGGGTCATGGCTCCCAAAAATTGAAACCCCTACCCTCTCCCACACGCACATCCACTTTCAATTTTATCATAATGGCAATTATGTGACCCCCCCTAAACCCCCTCCCCCCTTTTAGATGGTTTTCACGGTCCCATATTAAAATTTTCAAAGAGCAATAATACATGCTATCTAAACGGAAGTTAACGATCAAGTAATGAAGATTGCATTGGCTACTATTCTATTGTTTACAACTGTACATGATTATCAAATAGAAAATCTGAAGAGATTACTTATTTTAAAAACTATTGTTCCAATTTCAGAATGAGTCTACTTTTCACAAATCAAATATTTTTTTATGTTACCTCCCTTGAACTTGCATAGCAGTCGACTACTTATGCGCTTTAGCTCGTGTCAATTATATTGATGCTTAACACATGGGTTCGTGCCGATATCACACCGTTCGGAGACGAAAAGGGTCATAAATATAAAATGAGACATTTTTAATTCCATTTTAATCAAATAAGGGGTTAAGTGAAGATTGAGAAGTCTGAATCTATCAATTGAGAAATTATCGGAAATACGCAGAGAGTTGTCATCTACCCTAGATATGAGTAGATAATAGTATTCTGTTGTCATTAAGCTAAGAAGATTCGGAAATATGACTAACAAGACAGTCCATTTTCCATCTCTTGACCTTTGATCTGTGTTTTATATCGTAATATTTTAGACAGTCTCAGTTTCAGTTCAGTGTTCGTCAGGATGAACCTGTTATTTGGAGCCTCTATTTTTATAATTTTTAGTCTACATGTCAAAAGTCAAATATGTAAGTAAATGATAATTTAACACTTCTCAAAAACTTAACTGGACAAAGCCAATCTTTTTGTTTTCCCCGATAGTCATTTTCTTTTTTTAAAAGTTTAAAAATTGTGTTGTCGTGGGTTCTAATTTAGGGCGGCTAGCAAAAACCTTCTTAATTAAATCAGGCAATCGAACCGTTAATGGGCGCTGTCATCTATGAAAAAGAAAAATTGATTTTAATTTTCTTTTTAATAATAGAATAGAATAAACTTATAGCGATGAAATAATATTTGAAATTTAAAACAATTTTGAATTTCAGTGCAAAAGCGATTTGAAGATAGAACATATATGTTTTTTAGTAGAACAGCAACATTTAGTGGGATGGAGAAATTATGTAAACAACAGAATGCTACTATAGCCCCAGCCCGAACACTTGCAGAAAACAACTTCCTGTATAATATGAGGTCAGTTCAGACCTGTGCTTTTCAATAATTCTGATGTTCAGAATGTTCCGCATGAATAGATCAATTATCACCTATCAGTGTCACTCAGGTTCCATTTGAACTCAGTTGATAAATACTGACAGTTGATTGGATAGTGAGATTTCACACCAATGGTAACTTAATGATTATATTCGGGTTCTGGTGTTGAGAGCTATTCAGTTCAAAATTGAAAATAAAGAAAAAACAAATAATTGTGATCTTGTGATTTTATATAAAGTTACAACTGTATTTCTCAGAGCCCATTGTCGTGACTGAAGCACTTCTATTCCAAGAGGTATGTTATTACATCGATACGTTTGCATTATACTCATATTAGTGTATGAAAACGATTAAGGAAAAGAAACGGTCTCATATCAACAAGTCTTGTTTTTATGACGGGACCTTGATTCACATCACACTGTGGAGACACGGTTGGTTTCTGGTCTATTTTCTAGGCGACAAGCTGGTTTTGGTAGATTTAGAATGTGGATTGGTGGTGTTAGAAACGGTACTGGTGGTGCTTTTGTTTGGTCAGATGGTTCACCTTTGACCTTTACCAACTGGATAGGAGGTAATGACCTTCCCTGTGTTGATATTGCAAAACTTTAGATTAGGGGTGGGGCACTGCGAAATGTTTTTTTGTTTCGAATCTGTTCTGAGAGGGGAAGAATATTGCAATTTTACAATAAAATAATGCATATATACACCCAAAAAATGTATTCTTGGGTCTTTGGCCATGCACAAGTCAGCTTCAAGTCGACAAGTCGAAAATAGCTAGAAATATTCAAATGACAGGCCCGTAGCCAGATTGATTGTTCTTGGAGTGTGAAGGGAAGGGGGGTCTTTAGTATTCGATTTCTTAAAATCTGAGTTGTGTAGGCCTACATGAAATTAAATTTCTCGCAATAATGGGAAGATTCTTTATTCCAGGAGAACCAAACAACGCCGGTGGAAAAGAAAACTGCATGGTCATGGTAGTTGAAAAATCCGGTAAAAAAGCTGGATGGAGAGACATTTCATGTGAAGAATTTTTTCATCAAGTAATATGTGTGACATGTACGTATAGTGATTCTACAATCAGTTTAATGTAATTATAGATGTCTACCAATTGCATCTGAAATCAATCAGAAAAGGGATTGTAAAGAGGTTTCCTAAATTTTTTTATGTGTATTGAGTACACTGATAGCATCTATTTGCTCATTTGCAATTTTCAATCAGACTATAAAGTGTTTTATGACTTCATTATCGCTAAAGCCATAGTTTTGGAAGAATTGCAGGAACCACAGACGTCTGATTGAAAATTGGAATTGTGAAAATCAATGCTATCAGTCTCCTTAATACTCATACAATTTTTTTAGAAAACCTTTTACAATTGGTAAACCTGGTGGAGTTTTATGTTCAAAAACACCTATGAATCATCTTGGTGAAGTAATTTATGTGGACAGAAATAATATTTCGGGTTCAGTTTTCATTGTCGTTGGCTTTTCAGGATAGTCGTCTTGGTATGGAACGAGGAGCACATCTTATCGCTGAAGAGGTTTTTTTTTCAGGTTCTGGTTGAAACATTTTCTGTTTCTCTTTACATTAATTCTGTTTCAGATTAGATACAATTGATTTTCAGAACATCTTCTGGGCCATTGTTATATGTCCCAACTCTTTGCATAGCCTACATATGGTTGTTATCACATAAGAAATATACACACCCGATAGCAAACATTTTGTAGTTATTGTCATACTGCTCTTTTGATGTAAGATGGATACTCAATATCACACATCATAAATCATAGATTAAGAATTATTTGATCACTAGAGTCAATGATTTAAGTTGTTTTAGCAACATGCCATTGGTTCAACGGTAGGTAAGATTTTTTTTTATATAAAAAAACTAAGATCAGTCAGTAACGTGTGGTTGAAGGTAAGTGAAGTAGTGTAGCAAGGGTTCGATATCGCATGAATCGTCTACCCTTTGATACATCATGATTCATTATAGCTTTATATAGCCGAAAAAAACAGACGGAAGAAGACAAAAATTCAGTGAACACTGCTTTAACCCTGTGCCTATGACTACAGCATCTTCACACTACAAAGATATTACGACTCCAATAGCCGCCTTTCTTGAATCACGGAAGTTTGCAAATGCTGTGATTTGATTGGATTGGCTGGCACTTTGAAGTGAAAGAACACACAAAATCCTGATTGTACAAAAGTTACAATATGGTGTTTGTTCTCCAAGATTCAAGTGAGCATAAAGGAGAGGGTACAGAACAAGCAAACATTGACTGTTGCCAAGGAGATACCGAAAAATGCTCACCCTGATATGAGCCATAAGGTTACCACATCAGAGCCAATCAGTCAAATTGAAGGATAAGACTATATAGGAAGTGAAGAGTGTTGATTAATGATTGCTATGATAAAAAGTGCTCAATTAAAAGTATATTTGTGACAAGAAATAGGTTTATACAATCTGATCTGATGTGCACCACATGGTAGAAATATACTCTAACGCAGCTACCGTGTGATCAGAGGGTTACAAAGATATTCTCAAATATTAGCTCTGCTACAAAAATATCAGTATTATATAGGCAGCAACTTATGTAAAGTACGGATTTCGCTGCGTTTGGAATATATTAAGTGTGATATATGTAAACATTCCGGGACTAGACTATGTTTGTTGAGTTGCTATTTATTATATTATATTATTTATCTGAAGTTACTCTTTCTGTAATAGTGGTTGTCATTTGTTGAAGTGATATTTGTTTACAATTTGTTAAATACAGGAATTACAATTGTTTGTTGATGTGATTATTATTTATTTACTCAAATAAATTGTTATTGTTATTTATTTTTAATGTTTTTCATTCAACTGAATAAGATATGCATGCCTGTAAGAACCACTCTAATTCTAAACACAAAATGCTTTTGGAAACGCCAGAACGCTTGAGGCCGAACGACATGGTTTGCATCTTGGCATCTTTTTGAGACAGTCTAATATTAGCTAAAGGGTTTAGTTTGTATATTATGAGCTCCAAATTTTAGAATTCAAGGGAGGTAATATTTAGTCAATTTGAAGGGGGGTAATCCAGACTTATTTTGATGAAAATTGACCCGAATCCATGTTAAAAATATAAAAAAAAACATTTTTATTGAAGAATATTTGCATTAAGTACAAAATATAATAAAGTCTTTAATATAACATTACTTATAAAATCTACAAAATTACATTTAAAATGTTTAGAAAGCACTTATACAATCAAATTGAAAGTGAAATTTGAAAGTTCATATCCTCTGCGTAGTACGTTTATTTCCAATTCAATTAAAACCAGATAATAGTTTCGTTTCGATATTATTTTTTGTCGTTGAGACCAACCAAAAGAATTATAACGAAACAATAATTATAATTTTAGTTAGATTGATTTTTTTTTACACATAGGCCTATCGCGTGTTTTTACATATACGCCTATTAGATATTGCAAAAGGCTAAGGTGTTTCGAGTGACTTCCAATCCTGAAATTTGAATTTGCTTTGGGAATTCTATATGTACATGGAATGGAACAGATCTTAGGTTACTTGCAAAGCTTGAATGAAAATTGGTTAGTTACATAAGGAAGATAGCGGTTGGCTTCTTTGACATTTGGTTATAAATTCGCCGTTTAATAGACGAGATAGAAGACTGAATAATAGTAGTTGTAAGCCAGCTGCTGAAAACGTAAACAAATATTTCAGCAAACAAAAGCGATTAATATTGACTTCTCCGGAAAAGCTATCATCCATTTTATACTGTTTTTAACATCAAACCTATTTGGCTTGAACTTTTTTATGAATGAAAGCATTTGTATGAATTAAAATGGGATTCCTGTCCAACCTAACTGCATTTATGCTGAGATTCTAAGATGGATTTATACCCATTGGAGAAGAGTCGGATTTTTCACTCAATGTTTCATATCGGTCAATATTTTCAACAACATAGAGCTTATTTTTGTACGGATCTACGTAAAATCCTGACGGATAATGGCGCTCGATAGCGAAATCAGGTCTGTTGAAAGTTGCTATGGCCATTACTACAAAAGAGACGAAACCCAGAGCTCCACCAACGATACACACGATCAAACACCATCCCAATTGCCAATCGTTCGTACCAATCTGTACACCAAATATGATAGCACCAATTACATTGCAGATTGCTGAAACACAAAAACAATCAGAGCTGAAACTATCTGTGTAGTAGTTTCTTTAACCAGCCAACAGAGCTGGGGCTATCTGTTGAGTCATCTCAATAATGGCTTACCAATCAGCTAGTTTTCAATTGTAGGTAACTGTATAGTAGCATAATGCCTTTATCAGCTGATGGTGTTCAGCTATCTGTATTGTTATCTAAATGGATGCTTTATCAGCTGATAGAGCTCAATTGCAGCTATGTAGTAATCTGACTAGTTGCTTTACCAGCTGATAGAGCTCAATACCAGCTATCGTTACAGTAGTTGCTTTACCAGCTGATAGAGCTCAATTACAGCTATCGTTACAGTAGTTGCTTTACCAGCTGATAGAGCTCAATTATAACTATCTAGTAATCTAACTAGTTGCTTTACCAGCTGATAGAGCTCAATTACAGCTATCGTTACAGTAGTTGCTTTATCAGCTGATAGAGCTCAATTATAGCTATCTAGTAATCTAACTAGTTGCTTTACCAGCTGATAGAGCTCAATTACAGCTATCGTTACACTAGTTGCTTTACCAACTGATAGAGCTCAATTACAGCTATCGTTACAGTAGTTGCTTTACCAGCTGATAGAGCTCTATTGCATCTAACTGTAAAGTTGTCTAAATTGTTGCTTTAAAAGCTGATAGAGCTCAAATTCAGCAGTCGATATACATTCAGAATGTACATTTGGCGTTCGTATCGGATTACATCATGCACATTGCTTTTCAGTCAAAGTATTGTAAATCTGAATTGTAGAATTGTCTTGGAATAGTAAGACAATACCGAAGGCTAACTGTGTGAATTAGAATGAGCCAAAAAAGAAAAATAAATAAATTCTCGTCGTAATCCGTTTATATTCAAAAATTGTTCTTACCTCCTACAAGAATAGACAGGGCCATACAGCCCAATAAACATTTATATCGTAAACCAAGAGCTACATAAATATATACAGGTACTATCATCATTGGTACACACCAGAATATCAGCGTTAAACATTCTAAAGCTCGAATTGCATCCAGATAAGCTGGAAATATAGATAATATCATTAACAATGAGTAGGGGTGCTTTTGAACATTTCGGGCCAAAGAATCTAGGTTAAGGCCTTATTCTTAACTTAACTTAAAGGGATTGTAAAAAAGTTTTCCACACTTATTCAGCCAGTCGTTTGTAGTTCCGCGAAAACTAAGCGTTTTATAACGCCACTATCGCAACGTGTCTGCTGCTGTAAGACGGAGTTCGTAATAGCTTGACATTGTGAAGATGCTATTACAACGATGAAGCCCTTAGCCAGGGTTAGGGCTAAGAATAATGGAAACATGCATCTAGAAATAGAGGTTTTGACTGCTGGACCATGTTAAACCTTGTATTAAGTTATATATGTTCAATAGGGCCTTATGTTATTGAATGTAGGCCTATATATGATTAAAGACTAGATTCCACTACACTCGTTATCATTCTACAACTCGGTTTGTCTTCTTGTTTATTCTCTTTGAGAGACCATCATTAGTCATCAAGGAAATTTTATTACAAGTCATACTGTTCAAAGTATTTACTATATCCATATTATGAGAGTGACTATAATAACTGAGGAGGCTTTTTGATCCTGTTTATCTAATATTCGTAATAGAATCAATTTAATTCAAATTAGATCACAATTTCTTTTTTTTCCAGAAAGTAGAAAACGAAATTGTAATCAAATATCAATATGATTTTAATGGGATAGGCTTGATAAGTCAGATTTTACATAAAGAATAAGTCTATGATATTATAGATTTACTCTAAAAATGTATCAAAGTATCACAAAGTGACAAATGTAATCAATCATAAAATCGCCTTTACTATCTGTTAACAGTAATATTATAATGATAAATAAACAAGATAATAATAGAACTTACTTGGTGCGTCCCAGTGCATATCATATCTGTAACAGTCTTTAATATCGTCTAGCAGACATTCCGCATACCTCCATAAACCAAAATGACCAACTCCATCACTGTACGCCCAATACGGTGACGCGAAAGACAGAACGTGAAGTATCAATGCTGCTAGTAGTGCCACACAGGCAATAAAAGGAAGCGCTGCCGCCCCTAATCCAGCCATTTTGTTTTGGTCCAATATAGAATACCTTGCCTATTCACAGTATCAGTTTATTGTATTAGACGTGATATTGTTGTATTCAATTCTGTCTGAATTAAAGTTAAAACTGGTTGGACCGGTTTGAAGTGTATATAGCCCGTAGGTGTGTCGATAACGTCTGCCATTAAACCTACAGTCACTGCTCTAGAGCATAATTGTCCTATGATACGCCATGATATTATTCACTTAACTCATTAAACATAATCATTAGTTAAAAAACAAGACAGAGGCCGACGTGTGATCTTGATAGTGGGAAAATAGTTTTGAACCTTTTACATGCCCGAGTGAATAAGAACAGAAAAGGGTCACGCTTATCTTTTCGGGAGTCGAGGCTTTTGGTGAGTGGGTGGGGGCGGAGACTTTAGAATTGTCAAGGAGACTCACAAGTCATTAGTTCCACACCACCTCCTCTGGCGCCCCTACGTAGATACGCAACTCATATATTCGCTTTTGTTTATTTGAGAATATATGAATATAAAAACCCATGCTCCATTTCCTCATTCATATTTGCATTTGATTGAAATATATTGCAGAACAACAGTAACTATTTAATAGTAGGCTGTGTTACGCTGGACAGCTATATTGATTAATAGAGATCTATATAGATCCAATAATTGTGTTCTAATAGGTGTTCGGCTGCAATTCTGTGCTCAGAATGTAAAATGCATATAAAAAAGAAAATAAAACATTAAAATCATAATATATATATTTATTTAACAGATCGAAGCATATGAAATGTAAAATAATAATAGTATTGGGTTTTATAGAATATACTCTCCTATAGAAGCACTGGTCGAGGTCACAAGAATTAGTATACAATGATTTTATTTATGAACATGAAACATATTAAAACCTTCAGCTTCCCATGATTTATAAAATTCATATTCTGTTTTAGTAAACCCGAGTGCGTCCACCTTATAACCAGATCCAAATAAAGATTCTAGTTCTGGGACTGACAGTTGGTCGCTACACGATGGTACTAAATCATCAAATAGAATTTCACATTCAGGGGAGATAACTGACTTTAGGACATCAACGTAACCTGGTCGTTTAGGTTTACCAAGAGAATGCAAGGCGCCTGCATCCCAAACAGCATCGAAATCTTTCTCTAAATGTGGACCGAACTTAAAGAAGTCCCCCACATAGATTTTAATCTTTCCACATTCACTCTGGTAAAGTTTACCATCAATTGAAGGCTCCGGAGTGACGTTGTAGTCGAGTTTATTGAGCTCAAAGAAATGCTTTACAGCATCTTCTGAGATTTCCACGCCCACGACTTGATGACCTTTCTGTTTCAAACTAATCAAGTCAAATGTTTTGCCACACATAGGGACAAATGTCTTCACGCCATTTCTTCCCTTGAATAGCTTATCTTCAAACTTGATAAGACACTCGTGTGGTTTTTGTAGATAGCATTCCCGCCCTTCATCCGATTTCCAGAAATCAACCCAGAAGTTCTGACCTGGACCTTCACATTTCTCAGCTTCGTTACCTCCTTTAGAATCTGAAAAAAGAGAGTCCCCCACCTGTTTCCTTGAATCATTAGATGAGGGGGCTGTGAGGGGAGGGGGTATTTCCATATGTACAATGAGAAATTTGAAATAGGGGGTAACACATCCCGCTTGACATTCTGATTCTGACATTCCCAACAACCGCATCACAATTCTCACTAGACCCCAATCAGAAAAACTACGTTAACGATGGGTTTCCTTAATTTTTAGTGTCAAATTAAGCCAACTATTTGATTAATTGGTGTTTCTAATGAATTATCATGTAATCTTAATCATATCATTATGTTCTTATTGCAATTGATATAGAGTTTTAGCCAATCATAAATGTCCATATATGTACAGTCTGGATAAACAAAAAAAGACTTTTTGGTCTTTCTTGATCGGTCACTCATTGAAATTCTGCTGGTAATTCTCTTCTAATTTCGCTAATTATGTAATAATTATGGACATGTGAGTCAAACTGGTATTTTTGCCAAGTCATTCGAACACCTCTACTTTCTCTTCATATAAGTATTAGCATTAAATGAAAACAAGGGAACCCATCTTTAAGCTGTTACCTTCATTTAATTACATATCGATCAATGTAAAGCCGGGAATAGACCAGGTACGCTTTCCGGTGCAGTGTATGGTGCGATGTATGGTACGGTGAACGGTGCGGTGTACGGTGCGAAATAATCCATACAAATGAAGTACCTCGTCTATTCGCACCTTTATACTTTCGCTTTAACTTGTTATGACGTCTGCTGTGTTATATATGCATTAAAATACCATTAAGAAAGGTGGGAAAAAAGGTGCGAAAAGATGAGATATTGCCCGATGTGGTGTGTGGTTTGAGGTTATCGGCACACTACTCCTACATAGTGCATTCGTTTCTTCTATTTTCTACTATATTAATAAGAAATCAAGCTATAGCCTACACTGCTTCGGACATATCCAGTCTATTCGCACCTGTAGATTTATATTACACTTACCGGTAGTAGCTGCCATCTTTCAAACAATCAAAATACAGTCTTAGCTACACTAATCTATCAGTCAATGACGAGTCTCACTTTGTTTATGATGTATACCAGTACACTTAGGCCACCAAATTGTTCTAGAAAAAGAGACCTACTATATCAAAAGATTTATGGATGAATGATTGAGCGAGTGAAAGAGTGAGATACGCAATAACTGTAAGGCAATCAATATCTCGTAAACGCCTTAGTTTGCCGATTGGTCTGTTTGATTCTACATCGAATGTAGCCATGAGTGGGACTGTGTTTTCGATGCCTTTCTCAGTCGAAGTTTGAGTTGATCCGATGCGATTTAATGTTCAACCAATACAAATTCAAAATAGGTCATATAATGTTTGAATATACATTATAGAGTTGAGGTGCGCGTCGTGAAGTTTCGTCTAAATAGATACTTTAGAAGCTAGTTTATTTAAATTATAGAGTGCAGGGTGAAGTCACATTTCACGTTTAAAGGGAATCACTCCTTTTTCTAAGGCAAATTTTGTTTAAATGTGGGCTAGGTGCCGAGTTTATTACCAGGTATATGTCAAATTTGTATAGGGTTATATGCGAGTTCTAAACCTTTAGGAACTGTTAATCCTTAAAAAGGGATTTTCAAACCCATTTCTATATTGTGTGCTTGAAATGAATTAAGTTTTATTGTATAGATTACCATAGTTGACTTGATACAATTTATTATCGTTATAAATAATACTATAGGGCTGATAACGAATCACGTGATCAGTTACATGTACACTCCTAATTAAATACTAGGTGAATATCGAAGATATACCCTAACAGTTTTTAAGGCAAGAATAAACTTGATATAATTTGGAAACAGTTACTTCCTGGATTTTTTTTAATTTGAGGACGTCTTCTCGATACAGTTAATTCGACTGAGAACCTGCCGCCATCTTGTCTCGTTTCTGTGGTAATGGTTAGTATCTAATTTAAGATCTCAATAGAATCAGGATCTTAATTGTGTATAGTGAGTCGCAATATTCAAAAATAGATTGTTGGAGTCTTGCGATACGTCATTAAGAGAAGGTGATAATCCAATATGGCCGCCAAGATGGAGGATGTCAACTCATTGATTAAATCAACAATATCAAGACATTCAAATATCAAAGAGTTAGAATTCTGTAAAGATACTAAAAATGTTGTACTTGATGAAATTGGAACAGAAAATATGAACAATGTGTTTCGAGTGAGGAATAAGAATAAGACTTCAGAGAGTGTCATAGTCAAGCACGCTCCCCCGTACATCAAATATTTGGGACCTGCTTTTCCATTAGCTGCTGAACGAGGATCATTTGAGTTCAAAGCTTGCGAGGAGTTTCAAAAATACAGCCTTGGATCTGTCCCAATCCTTTATTTCTACGATGAAGACAGCAAGGTGTTGTGTATAGAAGATCTTAAAACTCATTCGGACTACCGGAAGTGCTTGCTGAAGGGAAACGTGGACGTTAAAGCCGCCGAAGCTATAGCGAGACACTTGACTAGGATTCATTCAGCAACACACATATCAAGAATTGGAGAAGATGCCATGGAAACCTTACATGAAAAATTTGAAAACAGTAGTATGGTGGCATTGACAAAAAAGACTATCTTCACAGCCCCTTTTTCGAAAGGAAACACGACTAACAAATGCTCCGATAAAGTACGACTTCATCTGGATGCTATTTATAAAGATAATGCTGTTTTAGATACGGCCAGAGAGTTAAAAGATGTGTTTCAAAAGAAACGTGAATGTTTGATACACGGTGACCTTAATACTGGATCAGTTCTGGTCGCAGATCAAAATGCGAAATTAGTTTCAGCAGGATTCGCTCATGTTGGTCCTGCATCGTTTGATCTTGGGATGTTGTTTGCTAGCTACATACTAGGATACTACCACCACCTTTCTCGACCGGATGACAGCAACGGCAGAGAGGTTGCCTTCAAAATTTTGGACTGCTGCAACGCCGTTTCGTTAGTTTACCAAGAAACCATTACCAGTTTCACGGGGGAGAATAAAGAAAACTACATCAAAACTTTAATTTCCGAGGCTGTTGGTTTTGCCGGATGTGAACTGATTCGGCGTATCGTTGGGTCCTCTCAAGCAGAAGAAACTGAAGACTTCCCCGAAGTAGAACCGGAAGTTCTTGGTGCTGGAATTCGACTGCTGAAATCCTACAAGAAAATCCACGATGTTGGATCTATGTTGGTTACTGGATTGATGTTGGCTTAGACAATAGAGATATCCTTATACAGACAATGTGAATCCAATCTTATATAATCAGTTTATCTTCTGTTCATATTTTGTTTTAATCAGGACCGTAGCTAGCCCAAGGTCTCGGGTGTTGGGTGCTCAACTAACTATTTGATTGTACAGGTCAATATCAGTATTAAACTTTGCTTAAAATATACTGAGCATGTTTGTAAGTGTTTTATGTACACGTACACTGTATATGAGTTTCTGTGTGTTATATGTTAAATATATATCAATCAATATGCTTATTGTTTCTTACTACAAAAAATAAAAAGTGACAGTCGTCTAATTGAATACATACCATATATCTCCGGTATACACCTTGGTTTTCCAAATCCAATTGTCGCCTATATCTCTTTCGATTGTTACGACAAACAGTGAGTTACTTCCTTCAAAAGAATCTCCATAAGATTATGACGCTGGAAATGTAAAAGAGGTTGCAAACAACAACGTGCGCCCACGTACCCAATATATTTTAATACATCAAGGGCTGTAACTCCATAAATATTCGCCGATGGTGTTCAGATTCAAACTTAATCTACAAATGTGAATAAAAAGATACTCACTTAATTTGATAAAAATCTAAGGCCACTTTTAACATATAATCAGTATATTAAGGACTGTTACTCTGTCATTTCACATTTCAAATGTGGGTGTATTAAAATTATCATAATGAAACTCAATGTGTACAATGTGCAGAGTTAGTCATTGTACACATACACTTAATGAATCTATTAAAATTTATTATTTACTCAAGTTTCGGTATTCTTCAGGTTTATTTAATACAGTCTGTACTGCTCTTTATACATGTAATTTATTGGGTTCTTTAATAAATTTTGTCTTGAGATATTGTATGTTAAAGAGGCAGTGTGCACCAATTTTAATGTGTATTTTACATATTAACTTATTAGTTAAGACTGGATATAGTTCACCAGTCAGTTGATTGACACCCCTCAAACTTTCTATCAATATGAAAATGAATATATAAGATTGGAAGAGCTCATTAGTAAAATTTAGTATGTTTATTGTCACCTGTCAAATTATACAGGTATACTATTCCTTTATTATACAGGATAATGACTGGATTTGAAATGTTAAAAACCAAATGAAATTCCAGGATTACTGCAATTACTGATTGCTCCAATACAAAAACAAATTTTGAAGTCCAAATAGTAGCAGAAGATATATATTGTTGAACAATGGGAGAAAGGATTCGATCGCAATTCCTGTTCTGAAGCTGTGCACACTCCTCCTTTAACATATTGACATGGATGACAGACTGTGTAGGTCATATATATCCTTTCCACATCGATTGATTATCATTTTGTTTATGAATTTTTAACCTTTCTGTGTTACAGTACTATATATAACATTTACTATATAAACTAGAGTGGTATTTTTTAAACAAAAGTAGTTGCAAAAGTAGATATCTGACCTACATATAACATTGGGCGGGGCATTCAACGAATTTCAAGATGGCGAACAGAACAGGTAAGGTTTGTGTTGACGATATTGAAGATAAATCAGATTTCCATCTTGCTCTGACGATAAAGCTACTCTACGAACACCTTACATATTAAGAATACCTGCTTAATAGAATATATATAAGATACGATAATAAGAATGTACCGTGTAAAGGTGGAAATAGATGAGATACCGTGACCGATGCGGCGTTGTTGATACAATGCAAAATAGAAGAAGCCAACCCGACCCTCTTGAATTTTTACTACATTTAGATATTTCGTCAATAACTAACATGACATCCGTCTGTTGTACGCATATGATTTTCTAAAATGTTAAATCCCCTGCTCATCTGCAAATGATTGATGTAACGACACACCATTTTAAGGGATTGTAAGAAGATTTTCTATACGAGGACACTGCTAGCAATTTGATTCAGACGTCACTGGTTCCTTTAATCCATCTCAGCTTTAAGCTTTGTATGACCATGCTATCCTAAAGGACCTTGTTAATGGCAGCTTTTGCAATAGTCTAAAACGATTAAAAGCATTTCTGACTGAAAATTTTAATCATTAACGTATTTCAACCGGCTTACCAACACGACCCGGCTGTATTATGATCGCTATACAAAGTGAGTTTTGATTAACATTACAGATGATGATAGAATTGCAGACGTAAAAGTTGAAGGTCATGATGTAAACACGTGGGTTGAATTCTGGAAATCGGATGAAGGGAGTAAATTCGTTGTTCAGGCACCTCACGAATGTCTGCAAAAGTATGAAGAAAAGCTGTTCAGGGGAAAGAAAAACGCCAAGGTCTTCTTACCCCTGTGTGGTAAAACCTATGATATGGTTTGGTTTCAACAGAAAGGTTACCATGTAGTTGGCGTGGACGTTGCAGAGGATGCAGTAAAGCATTTCTTTGAGATGAATAAAGTAGGCTACAATGTCACCCCGGAGCCTTCAATTGATGGTAAACTTTACCAGAGTGAATGTGGAAAGATTAAAATCTATGTGGGTGACTTCTTTAAGTTTGGTCCACATTTAGAGAAAGATTTCGATGCTGTTTGGGATACCGGTGCTCAACAAGCTATTGGAATGTCCCTGAAACAAGATTACGTCAACGTTATAAAGAAAGTGATCACCCCTCAGTGCCAGATCCTTGTGGAAGATACCGTACCGACTTCAACATCAGTTTTAACAGCAGACGAACAGCAGACATTGTATGGACCCGAATATAAAGTTGAAGAACTAGGATTTACTAAAACAGAATTCGATTTGTATAAGAAATATGACGTGAAAGGTTTTAATTTTTTCCATGTTCACAAATAAAACAATACCATTGGTAAGTGTTATTCTGATGAATTACCAACTTTGCAGTCTGTTCAGTAATACAGGTAGCTTAAAACTACCGTCGTATATCTGTTTACAATAGATCCTTGGTTCCCGACCAGTGGTACGAGTATTCCTCAGGGCACCAGTGGCTGTGAACACCACGAGGCTTCAAAGATTATCTAAATGGTCATTTCTTTTTTATGTTAAGTGTAGATACAGGCATGCCAGTCTAAGGTTTGAACAACTTTCGACGTTTTGTGGTAGTATTTTCATTGGGCTTATGGTGTGGTGCAGCCAGACGTAGGGAAGGATGTAACTGTAGTCCAGGTTTAGATGTAGATTAGATTAAAAGGGTTTAGAGAGATTGAAAATAAAGACAGCTGAGTAACTATACTATTACAGATTCAGTGAGGGTGGAACCGCTGGAGATTCGTGGATTGAGAAGATACTCGCCCAGTTTCGGCCCCTCCCCTCTCCAACAACTTTCAAATTCCCTCAAAACATTTCTGTGGCCCCTATTCGGATCTTCATTATTGCTTCATAGAAATGCCACTGGACAGATTAGGTTGGGGAAAAACATTTATTCGGTGCTATGTCAAGCTATTACGAACTTCGTGCGCTTCATTTACAAACTTCCTTGATACAAGACATGTGGCTACTGGAATCAAGGTATAAGTACTAAGTTCGCAATGGTTTGACATTGTGAAGATATGCTACTGAAGCCAATTTGTACTCCTTGGGTCTTCAAGGTACTGTGTACCACTGGCCTTACTGGAAAGTAAGATAGATTATAAAGATGACGAGAAAACATGATTTTATTAAAATGGTTAAATTTAATGTACAATATGTGATAAGTACAAATTCTATAAAACAAAATAGAGTTAATATCATTATTAAGAAGCACTATCAAATTAAAGTGTATTTAATCAACTACAAAATATCACAAACATACTCTCCCACTTTGGTTCAAAAATCATAAATATTCAATAATTTTAATTAATATTCATTTTGACAGTCACTAGTTGTATTTTATTACTTCAAAGGCCTGGGTGTTTCACTCGCCATGGGTCACATCTCTGGAAACAAGTCTCACATCCCAGGTTGGATGTGGGACTTGTGCGGAGTGGTGTCACCAACATGTGTAGGAGAAGAATTTATAAGTTGATAGAGCACATTGCCTAATCACAAATTTTAGGGGTGTGAAAGGTTCAACTGATCTCTCCAGGGGTGTGAAGGCTGTAAAAGGTTGGGACATAGTCATCTGAATATTCTAGTAAAATTGTTCCTAAAATTATCATTAATTTGTGGATTTAAATCATTAAGGATCAACAAAATGTGTATTAAGTATTAAGAATTAATAGTTTTTTTATCTAAAATCTTCATTTCATTATTGAAGCTTTAATATCAAATGATGGAAATTATATTTACAAAATAAACTATCTACATAATTATATTTACAATTATTTACATATTTACAATCTTCATACCTTAGATCACACATAAATAAGGAATTGCAAAAAGAAAAATATCTAAAAAATCTTTGTATGCATTAATGAGGTAAAATAAAAGACTGGTTTATGGGTATATTTTAAACTATGCATTCATTTTTCATCAATTTATATTAAATAAAATTACTACTTTTATTTTTGTTTGATTGTAAACAATATCATAATTCCTATTAGCCAATCAAAACCATTGTTAAAGTTTTATTAAGGTCCATGTTTAAAAATGACTCTCCCATAGTTCTTTTATGAATATTCCATAATTCTTTTGACATATCAGAACACAGAAATGTGATTGGTTGAATTCTTTCTTAACCTGAATATATAGGAGTGGCGCTTGATTGCAGAACTCTGGTTAGTTTCAGTCTGTTTCCAATCTTGCCACCAATCAAATGATACGAAAGCAGATATGACACGTTCAAAATGTTCCTATCTATTTACTACTCTGCCATTTTAAAATTCTGTCTGCACCTTCTTTTTTTTCGGCACACGTGAGAAACTTTCAGAACTCTGTTCCAACATGTTTTATTGAACGTTTGGTTCTTTCAATGAATCCAAAACTTACAGAACTCACCAATCAAGCAAATACCTTGTTATAATATCACAAACACATAATCCTGTGACCAAAACACATTTTGAAAAGTCTAAACTAACTATGATTATGAAATATTTCCTTGTAACAATGAGTAGTGTACAACTCCAAAGATTTTCTAAAATGGCAAACCTGATAAATATTATCATGATATGTCATCTAAAAAAACTTCATAACTGTGATGGATTTCTTAACAAAAGCAATGGAATAGATTTCACAAAAAAAACTCTATATCTACTAAATATCTACTAAAAATATATCTAAGAGGCATTTCAGTATATCATTCTTTTCTTTAACATATTTTAACATAATATCATATTAGAGGCCAAAATGACAAGTCAAAGGTGGAGCTCTAAGTAGACATGACTGGCAAGTACAACCCAAGCGAGAGCATACTTTGCAGTGTACTGGATAAAAAAAAAATTAACTCTTTCAGGGGACAAGATAGTTTTGTTATTCTTTTCAATCTTGAATGAGGTACGAGTGCTAATAGACTCATTAAATGACATAAATTTTTGATTTTGTCTTTTTGGCCTTTTTTGTCAATGTATACAAATACTAACCTTAATATAATTATTTACTTATTATATATCTAGCCCTGACTTTTAATGGTTATAAATTCATTAACTATATCTACATGATCATAATCATCTATAAAGATATGAAGTTAATATAATCTTGATTCATAAATATGATAATTTAGATTGGTTAGTCATATATTTAAATCATAGTTTATAATCCAATCAAATATCAATCAAATCTGATCAATATTTTGATATGTTATAGGCATATGATCTTTTTGACGCCTTTTTTGTGCCATGATCACTACTAATGAGGTCACACACAAGTTGTCTCTGTGCAAGGGCTATCACAATTTGGTTTTTATGATGTTCCTCATCTCGCCTTGAAGAAATTTTCACAAACTACGCAGCATTAAAGTTCTTGTCTCGCAAAATGCACAGTTTCAGAGTTCTAGTTTCACAAAATACATGACATTAGAGCTCAAGTTTCATAAACTACATGACATTAGAGCTCTAGTTCCACAAACTGTACAGATTTAGAGTTCTAGTTTCACAAACTGCACGGCATTAGAGTTCTAGTTTCACAAACTGCACGGCATTAGAGCTCTAGTTCCACAAACTGTACAGATTTAGAGTTCTAGTTTCACAAACTGCACTGTTTTAGAGTTCTAGTTTCACAAACTGCACTGTTTCAGAGTTCTAGTTCCACAAACTGCACTGTTTTAGAGTTCTGGTTTCACAAACTGCACTGTTTTAGAGTTCTAGTTTCACAAACTGCACTGTTTTAGAGTTCTAGTTTCACAAACTGCACTGTTTTAGAGTTCTAGTTTCACAAACTGCACTGTTTTAGAGTTCTAGTTTCACAAACTGCACGGCTTTAGAGTTCTAGTTTCACAAACTGCACTGTTTTAGAGTTCTAGTTTCACAAACTGCACTGTTTTAGAGTTCTAGTTTCACAAACTGCACTGTTTTAGAGTTCTAGTTTCACAAACTGCACTGTTTTAGAGTTCTAGTTTCACAAACTGCACTGTTTTAGAGTTGTAGTTTCACAAACTGCACAGAATTAAAATTCTAGTTTCACAAACTGCACAGATTTAAAATTCTAGTTTCACAACATATAAAATATCACAATAATTAATAATTTAATTTCTCCTTTCTTCTCTCTCTTTATCTTTATTCCTTCAATCTAATCTTCTTTCTCTTCTATTGGTTCTTGTGTTGTTAACTCTGTACAATCACTTCTGTTATCCAGTAACCTAACATCTAAAATGTAAAAAAAAGTTCATTGTATAAAAATGATGAAAGCATAAAAGAAGATATATATATTTCTGAAATCCTGTTCTCCCAAAAACATTTGACAGATAACACTCAAGTGACACAAAATGCACATAATGTTTTAATATTCATTTTCAGTATATCAAGGGCTATAACTCCATAAAGATTTGTTGGATGGTGCTCAGATTTGAACCCTTCCAACACGTCAATATACAGCTATAATTTGAAAAAACTGTGGCCTCTCTTGTGCCTCTCAGTTTATCAAAAATTAAAGGGTTAAAACTCTGTCAACATCTGTTGAATCATACCATAACTTGTCCTAGATCTTACAATTATAACCTTACAATTTGATCAAAATTAAACAAAAATGTGACCGCCATCAGTATATAAAAAAAAAAAACTTACCATCATTTGCTAAATTATCAGCAGATGACATCAGACTACCTGCTGTAGCTCTCTGTGAGCTAATAGACCTAGTTGATGTACCACTATCAAATGTTTCTACAGTTCCAGCTGTTGAAGCATCACTCATACTCACATTGACCGTATCTAACGATCCAAAAATCTCAGAAGTACCATCGCCTCTATTCATTGTACTGGTCGTTGCTGACGAATGTCTATTGCTATCGCTTCCATTATGAATATTTCTAATAGTAGGTGGGATATGAGGCAAGGGACGATACTCTGAACCTTGTGTTGAAGTAGGTGTCGTTACTGTACTGTTTGGTAATCTGAACTGGCCTTGACCTTGCTGCATAGCTTCTTCGTAAGTAGGGAGATGAACTCGCGTTGCATCAGCGTACGCCATTAAAGCAACTCTGTCGTGATCATCAATGGAGCTGATGTTCACTCGTGAATATGGTGTTGGGGTCATACCAGGGTGGAATAAATGTGGACGCTGTTTTTTACGTCTGAACACCACGATGACCATGACTAATAATAATATACCCAGTACGCTACAAGCTGTTGCTATGACGATAACTAGAGTACTGACATGGTTAGAAACAGAACTGGATGCATCATTTGAGTACGGTGTATCACTGGAATAAGGTGCATCACTTGATTCTTTATTCTTATCTTTCTTAACTGTTACTTCAGAGGCTGTAAATAAAATAAATTACTTAAATGAATTGAGTTCATCTTTGAATATCTAAGTAGAAATAAATTAATAATATGAAACAAATGCATATCATAAGTAATTTGACCCGACAAAAATTTATTTTTTTAGGAATTTTCAAGCCACTTTCATGGGGAAATTATGATGATGTCATCTCACAGTAATATCTACACGAGACAATCTAAATTATGTCCTGGAAGTTACGTCAGTCTAAACTTCCTCTGTAAATTTTTGTTGAATTAAAGGAAAGATGACGTCAGATATTTATTCTCAAAAGTACTTCAAATAGTTGTAATTAAGCTGACTCTTACTAGATGACTTTACCCCTTTAACTCAATCAATGTAAAATACTTACAAGCTAGACAATATGGAATATCAGCATCCCAGATACCACGCTGTCTATGTTGATCTCTGGTACAGGTTAATACCGACATACCAGCTAGAGTATAACCCTTGTTACACATACATTGTATCTTAACACCTCGTTCATATGGTTTACAAAACATCAGATTATTACTATCTTCTTCATCACATTTACATAATCCATTATCTATCTTCTCTAGTTCAGGACAATACCATACTGGTTCTAAAACAAAATAGAAATAGTTTAAAGAAAGAAAGAAGCATCCATGTTTTACGAGGATCACGAATTGGGTTCTCAAGGATCCTAGCCGCATATTCTCTAAATGATCTTAGCGCTAGGATGTCCTAGAAACAGTGTTAAGATCCTAGGACATCCTATCGGTACGATCATTTCGTGAATATGCAGCCTGGTTACCAGCTGGTCCTTGACCAAACCTCTTGGTATTGATTTTACAAGGATCAACCTAGGTTCCTGAGGATCCTTTCTACCAGCTCATCCTTGGTTATATGTCTTGGCATTTACAGCTGGGTTGAACAGAATAATGAAGAAAAGCCATAGGACCCTTACCAAGATCAGAATACATGACTGCCATTTGTCTGACGTAAAAAACTCAAATACATGTAGATTATGTCATTTCAACAATCCGACTGTCCTACACCATTTTTCTAAATTTCAAACATAAAGACTACAGAATAAAAATTTGAATACCTGTATCAACAATACAAAATGGCGGAACTTTGGACCAAAAGATATCAGTACATTCCAACATGGTGGAGCCGACTGCTTTATAACCTGGACTGCAATAATACTGTACTTTTGTACCAACAGGATACTGTTTATCGTTATTGTCACTACCACTAGATACTATAGTCCATCGACCATTTAGTATATCTCTCGGCACATGACATCCAGCTTTTGGCACTGAAATATTTAAACATTATAATGACGCAATTAAATTTGTGAACAATTTGGTATAAAAGTCATGCACTGTATTCTCGAAACGATCTTATTGCTCGGACGTCCTAGGTTCCCAATTTCTAACACTGTTTCTAGGACATCCTAGTGCTGAGATCATTTCGAGAATCCTGGACCTGGGGATTTGTACTGAAAAATTCAAATTTTGAGCATACTGCTACACAATTTATAAAAAAAATACAATTTTACACTTGATTAATATGAAAAGAAGATAGCTTGCCAGGCAAGGTAATATACGCCCACTGATAGCTTTGTTTGAAATTGAATATTTGTTAGAAAATAGCAAACATAGACACCAGGAAATATTCAACTTATACCCAAATCCATCACAAACTGTGCCATCACAAGTTAAAAATCAAACACATTTGTAAGAATAACGGCAATAACTTGTATTTTATATTTCAAAAGGTTTAGTTTTGATTGTGATCAATTTCATCAAGTTGTCAAATTTGTTTTAGACTTCTGCTTTGTAGAATAAAAATTACAAGATTTTTGATCAGATTTATCCTTGGGTGATTTCATGAATTGTGTATTTGCAGATTATATTAAAAAATATAGGCAATAATTCATACTACATATTTTTCAATTTCCCTGATTTTTCTATAGGGTTTATCCTTGGGTGAATACGAACACTCATACCAAGTTTCATCAAAATCTGTCAAGAATTGTGCCTTCTAGAGTGTTTACGAGCTAAAAATTGAACGGTTTGCAAGAACAAGGGCAATAATTCATACTAAATATTTTTCGATTTTGCTGATTTTCAATAGGGTTTATCCTTGGGTGATTACAAACACTCATACGAAGTTTCGTTAAAATCCATCAAGAATTGTGCCCTGTAGAGTGTTTACGAGCTAAAAATTGAACACGTTTTCAATGACAAGGGCAATAATTCATACTAAATATTTTTTGATTTCACTGATTTTCAATAGGGTTTATCCTTGGGTGATTACGAACACTCATACCAAGTTTCGTTAAAATCCTTCAAGAATTGTGCCTTCTAGAGTGTTTATGGGCTAAAAATTGAATGCGTTTTCAAGAACAAGGGCAATAATTCATACTAAATATTTTTCGATTTCGCTGATTTTCAATAGGGTTTATTCTTGGGAGATTGCGAACACTCATACCAAGTTTCGTTAAAATCCTTCAAGAATTATGCCTTCTAGAGTGTTTACGAGCTAAAAATTGAACGCGTTTTCAAGAACAAGGGCAATAATTCATACTTAATATTTTTCGATTTCGCTGACTTTCAATAGGGTCTATCCTTGGGTGATAACGAACACTCATACCAAGTTTCGTCAAAATCTGTCAAGAATTGTGCCTTCTAGAGTGTTTACGAGCTAAAATTAACAAGGGCAATAATTCATGCTAAATATTTTTCGATTTCGCTGATTTTCAATAGGGTTTATCCTTGGGTGATTGCGAACACACATATTAATTTTCGTTAAAATCCGTCAAGAATTGTGCCCTGTAGAGTGTTTACAAGCAATTGTGGACCGACGGACGGACCGACGGACATGGGTGACGACAATATACGCCCCCCATTTCATGTGGGCGTATAAAAAAGACTAAAATCAAATTAAACAGAAAGTTCTTGTGAATAAAGACAATCTAATTATTTCAATCTTTTCCCAGTAAGATTCAGATCTAATTTTAAAATGATAAAGATCACTCACCACATGTAGGTATAGAGCCTTCCCAATTACCACCAGTACATGTTAAATAGTTGTTGGTTTTATCTACTAATGTGTAACCTGGTCTACAGCTATATTCCAGTCTGCTTCCTTCACCCATAGGAGGTGATGTACCATAACTATGTATGGCATTAGGTACAGCTGGTGGTAAAGGACATCTTTGTACTGGAAAAGAAAAATACATGGTCTAGAGTCAAGCAAAGACAATTGTGCACATCTTCTCAAAATTGCATCATTTACCATGATGATACCATGTGATCCTTCAACGCGTTTCTATTAGTTAGTTACTTTTTCTAGCTCAGCTGGTATTTTCCTCACAGCCTCTTGAGCAGAAATCTCACTTAAAATTCAGTGCACACAGGGGAACAGCTCAGTTCCCAACCTCTTGAGGTAGGCAGCTCAGCTAATTCCTCTCATCTGCAGGAGGTTTACAAAATTGAATGAAAATATTGCAATTCCCTGTAATAAACTTAGAAATCGACGAAATTTTTATACCTGAACATGATAAAAGACCTTTAGATCCATCAGCCATGATCCATTGTCCTTTTGGGCCACAAATAATCTGAAAACTCTCTTTATAACGCCCTCCAGTGGTGGCAAAACCAGGATCACAGATCACCGTGGCGATATCACCTACATCATGAAATAATGACGTGGAACTGAATCGGATCTTATAATTCAAACCAAATGATTTTCTTGCACATTTTGGTCTAAAAACATCTGAAAGAAAGATATACATTGTAACTTAGATTGTTAAAGTTTGGTAAGATGTCTCTCAAATACAGTAACTGAAGCAAAAAACATCTTGCTGCCTTGAAACCAGGTACTATTTTTCAGGCTTTGCAAACGAGAATCCAACTCACTTCCAATGACATTTTGTGGGATACCAAACCCATATTTCTCTACTTTCTGTTTCACTATCCCACAATTCATCATTGTTGTCAAGAAACAGATTCTACATGAAATGATTTGATTGGGTAAAAATAAGGTAATTAGAATAAGAGTGCAGTAGAAAAACTGATAGAATTCAAAAGATATCAGAAAAAGAAAGGAACAAAATTGTATTTTAATTTAAATCAGGTTGAGATTTGGCATGAATGGTTGAGTTTAACTAAATTAATATAAAACAATTATCATCACTTACTAGGATGAACACACTTTGGTTGATAATCAGGTTCCCATTGACCATTATCAGAACAGACTTGTTTTGATTCCCCTAATAAAGTAAAACCTATATCACATGTATAGTGGAGTCTCAGTCTAGTTGTATTAAACACTGTCATAGAGCCATTAGGAAAATCTTCACTTGGTAGTTCACAGTCTTCTGAAAAACAAAACAAAAGTCTTTAATCTGAGGTCAATTGAACACTATTAAACTTGAACTTACAATATTCAAAATATGCAATGGGCAATACCAATAATTCAGAACGCTACAGAAATCTTCCTCATGAGTAATACCTCTTCTGAAGATCCATTTTTTTTTCAGAATTGATAAATAGTTAGCTGGCTACTAATTTTTAAATATCATAATGACTTTAAGAGAATAATTTGATGGTCATTTGGATTCTTACTATTAGATCAATATACTTACGTGCATAAATATGATATAAATGGTTAAGAATTGTTAATAAAACACATGTATTATAAATAGTCTTCTTCATCCTTTTCTGTGTCTAGTTCAATAGTCTGAAAGAAAAATATGATAACCTTTGAAGCATGCTTTATAAATGAGCACTATTATAATAGTAGTCCATATGGTAAGGTAGGCAAAATTCCTAACAAAAAAGACCCACAAATTGGACCAAAGTTTGGCAATTATTGACTAACTTTTTAATTATGAAGATCTACTCAGTAAGTAGGCCCTAGGCTTCATAATCGCATTTTCTTATTAAATAACTACTTCATCGGGATATGAGTTGAACAACACAAAATACTATGAATTTCAAACTATCATGTACTTTATCAATTAATTCAAACTAATTGCTATTGATCAATCACAGAACCGGATCGGTTGAATTTGAAAATCAAGAATCAAGAGAAGAGAAAACACAGTGCCATTGACATGACAGTGGCCAGTCTGGTTTGTTTATCAATATCAGAATTGTTGACTCCAAACAACCTAATTTAGACCTGAGCTATCGATACTTCTTATTCATTGAGAATTAAATTATTATCTTGACTTGGAAATATAAGGTACACTTACAATATATGAACAAATCGCCCTTCAAGATTGCTTTTTTATTACGTTTTTTACACTGGAAATGTCAACACCGAATAAACCTGGAGGCCATTTTGCCATTAAATGACGTCACTTAATCAGCAAGTGCGCAAGACAGGAAACACAAAAAATAAACAAACATGGTGGAAAACTGACACGGTTTTATCAATATTAAAATTCAAACAGATATTTCAAGCAATGTAGGAGTGCATCGGGTTGTCTGACATTGCGTTGGGATGCCCAAATATCTACTAAATATATACGTTACATAAAATTTAAGTCACGGAAAGAAATCTTAAGGAACTAGGAGCAAAAACATTTTGTGACTTGTCAATCGATCAAAAGATTCATAGTGACAGAGTCAGAGTAATGATTGTATTCTATATAATTCACTAAATTCATTTGGTTTGACTACAAAGAATTGCACAGATGTCTCCATTCAGATAAACAGCTTGTCTGGATGAAATCTGGAGATTGTGACTTTGCTTGGCTGCATGTACAGTACGGTATATGGGTAGCCTCGAAGTTGGAATGCAGGTGAAGCTCTAAAAAATTGTTTAAAGATAAAAATGAGGCTGCGGTTATTTCGCCATATTAGACTGTGGAAACTGGTCATACTTTTAATATTCATTGTGATTTGCTTACAAATTTTCCACATGACTCTTCTTAGTCGACTAGAATCAAAGGAAGTGGAGGAATACAAACGTGTAAACAAAGTTCTTTTGGAAATTCGAAATCAAGTGAAGAATTGGCAAAGATTAGACAAGAGTGGAACATACAATTTAATTCCTAATTTACTCACGGCAAAATCTAGATTATACAGAAATAGTGAAAATATAACAATTGTTACTCAGTGCTCTTCCAATCATTTGCATAATTTAGTTGAATTGACAGAGAGGTGGGAGGGGCCAGTGTCTGTCACTGTATTTACATACGATACAGATATTGAGTTTACAATGAAATCTCTTGCCTATTATCATGTTTGTAATAAGCGTATTCATAGATCTGTTACAATTCATGTGGTCTTTCCCATAAAAAGAGCACCTTTGACAGATGATCAGCAAATTATTGAATCTTTTGATTGCAGTTCTCCACCAGTTAAAGTGTCTAATGATAATTATGAAATTCAAGATTTAGAATATCCACACAATTTGTTACGAAATCAAGCAATAAAAAATTCAAGAACAACTCATGTCTTAGTGCTAGATGTAGACATGTTACCATCAGAAAATATTGGAAACGTCTTCCGAAATATTCAACAAAAATACTCCTTCCTGAGAAACTCTAAATTTGTCTTTCGATCAGCCTATGTTATTCCTGCTTTTGAATTAAAAGATGGACATAAAATACCCTCTGATAAACAGGAATTATTAAAAATGTGGGATGACAATCTAGTCAGGCCATTCTATAAAGAAATGTGTTGGAAATGTCAAAAATATACCGATTATGAGCAATGGCGCCAACTGACTCCTGGAGATAGTTCTTATTATAATGTAGAATGGCATGATCCTTGGGAACCATTTTTTATTGTGGCCAAATCTCTTCCACTTTATGATGAAAGATTTAAACAGTATGGATTTAATAGGATTAGTCAGGTAGAGTAGAATCTTAACCATTTCTCATATTTAAATAAAATACTGATGAAAGCAACATTTTTTCAGCTTAGTGGATTCTCTGAAAGCTTGGAGAATAGATACCCAATATAAACAAAACCTAACTATTAGCATCTGCTGAGAGACTTTCTATCCAGAGCTTCATTGATTTTTTTTTTTTTGATGGATTCATCTGATATTTTATTAATAGATATTTCACATTGATTTGTGAAGTAAAATGAAACATCAAATGGCCAATTTTACTTTTTTCACAGCTAATCAAGATACACCATTATGACTTTGAATTCTTACCTTCATTTACCATTTACTTGACCAGTTATAAAGGCATGTTTATTGAAGATAGAGTGTTATCAATTAGGCTTGTTACATAACAATTTATTGTACAGTAGATAAGAAAACTCGATACTACATAGAATATCATCCTGTTATACTCATTAGATTAGTTAATATTCAGGTGCATCAGGACAGGTTTGATGTCAGAAACGCCCCATCTTAAAGATTTCATAATGTGGTTTCCAAATTTTGTGTTTGTAGACCTACATTAGGAACACTTACAACTTCTATTTGTACCATTCAAATCTCTTTGGCTGTTATAAATCACCTGTAAACCCCCCAAAAATGTTCCTAGAATATGATGTCAATGCAGCAAATACCATTTTAAAGTCAAGTTTAGTTTTTATGGAATTACAGGAACTATAGATGTCTGTCCAGAAATGCACGAGGGACCAATACACATGCAAGGGTTAGAAAGCCTTTTTGGAATATATGGAGTTTAAGATTCTGACTTTTATCTGACATTGTTCAGTGGCTGGAGAATTTCTTGAAGTATTTTGGCATGAAGGTGCTTCTATATCTATAAATATTTTCTATTTTTCAGGTTTGTGAGATGTATATTGCTGGATATCAGTTCACTGTGTTATCAGATGTGTTTCTAGTTCACAAAGGATTCAAACAACCTGGACATTTTCACAAAACTAAAGATGAAGAACAACAAAAAAATAAACTTTTATTCCGGAAATTTAAGGAAGAATTAAAAACCAAGTATGATGATTCTATTAGACGCTGTTGATTTTGGTGTATTTGATGCAAGTTAATAAATATTTTCGTCTGTATTGAATTTTATTTGTTCAACCTGGTTTTCCCCCTGTCAGTGATGCAAGTAAGAGGGGCTGACATGGAAAAGCGTCTAGTCGTTCGGATGGGACAATAAACCGAGGCCCTGTGTGCTACAGGCTGTGCACATTTAAGAAACCTTGACAGTTGGAAATCGAAAAAGAGCAGACTAATGCCGCTGTCCTGGCAAAATTTCCCTCATTGCACCTTGCATGGCGTTGCACGTCTTCATCAGTCAACATGGTGCAGAAAAGTAGGACGTAAAACTCCATTCATTTCATTTCAATTTGAATTTTTTTAGTGGAGCCTCCATGAAACTTTCCTTCTGATTCTTTTAATGATTTGGAGATCTTGGCCCTTATTTAAAATCAATTTTTTACCACTCTATAAAATCCATGCTTTGATGTCGACCCAAAACTGACCCTGGTATTTAGGATGTACCTTTGTTAAAGAAGCAATAAGTCATTTTCTACAACTGTCTATCCTTTGCTAAATAAAGGGAGGTAACCTAAGTCTTATAATTGGTTATTTCCCCTTAGCTAGTGTGCATTTGATATGTCCAGAATTCTACTAAAGATGATCTATTTAATTGCTTATTTGCTCCATCTCTACCAATTGTTTATTTTCAATAATGAATATTGAGGAAAAAATGATTATTTGTGATGAATGTTCTCTAGCTAGGTGCTAACATATCTTAGATAAACTGTGAAACTGAAACATGTGTTTGTGGTATGGTAGGCTATATGATTAGAAATAGTGATATATAATTTATTGAGTTGATAAGATGGTAACATATGTAGGAACAATTGTTTCAGATGTACTGTCACAGGTTATATTAAATAGCAGTCTAATTAAAAACTATATTACAATTTCATTTTGTTTTGATTACAACCAAGATAAAAATAACAGAAATTTATTTTTTTTTAAATATAAATTGATTAGATTGACCGAATAGCTACTGGACTTAAAGGGAATTGTTAAGAGGTTTTCTAAATTTTTTATGTGTATCAGGGTCACTGTTAGCATCAATTTGCACCATTCTATAATTGATGTATTGAGCACTATTTTAACAGCGGTATTTCTATATCGCTCTATAATTGATGTACTGAACACTATTTTAACAGTGGTATTTCTATATCACTCTACAATTCATGTACTGAGCACTATTTTAACAGTGATATTTCTATATCATTCTACAATTGATGTATTGAGTGCTATTTCAACAGCGGTATTTCTATATCGCTCTACAATTGATTATTGAGCACTATTTTAACAGTGGTATTTCTATATCTCTCTACAATTGATGTATTGAGCACTATTTTAACAGTGGCATTTTTATATCACTCTACAATTGATGTATTGAGTGCTATTTTAACAGTGGTATTTCTATATCACTCTACAATTGATGTATTAAGCACTATTTTATCAGTGGTATTTCTATATCACTCTACAATTGATGTATTGAGTACTATTTTAACAGTGATATTTCTATATCACTCTACAATTGATGTATGGAGTACTATTTTAACAGTGGTATTTCTATATCACTCTACAATTGATGTATGGAGTACTATTTTGACAGTGGTATTTCTATATAGCTCTACAATTGATGTATTGAATACTATTTTAACAGTGATATTTCTATATCACTCTACAATTGATGTATGGACTATCTTAACAGTGAAAATATTTTGTTATGGTAATATCAATATTAATAGTTTTATATGTGTCATGTGTAAATCAGGTCTCTGGTATATAAATATCATTATTGAAATAACTTGTTGAACATCTGGTGTAAATAATTGATAAATCTGCTTTTCTAATCACTCAAATATACACACGTTTTATTATCATGCATGCAGTTGGCATGTCAATAAAATTCAGCTAGACCATGCTCAAAGATTCCAAGAAAATAGAACAGTGTCAGAGCAAATGCTGGCTTAAAACATTACTCATTGTACACTGCATGGTGTTGATATTTTTGACAGAGTAGGTCAGAGAAATGTTGTATTAAAAAAATTATGGTGTTGTCATTAGCTAAATTTGGAGAAAAAGTCCATTGTATTACAGTGCAGAGATTTTCTGTACCCCTTTTCAGATCATAAATAATTCTTTCAGATCCTACTTTATACTCAAAGGAATTTCACGACTGCAAATATCTTTTGGGGGAATGGGCATTGATCTTACAGCAGCCATTTTCCATCAATCCATAAAACAGAAGAAATAGTTTGCAATTTAATGTAATAAAATAATCGATTTTGAAAAAAAGTTATAGTATTTTTATGGCAGAATAAAAGACTGACATCATGAAAATCAATTATTAGATTTTTACAATTAGACAAAACATTTCCATTAAAAATTAGTCAAAACACATCACTTATTCTGATTCCTGAAAATAAAAGATGAAGATTAAAAGATAAATCTGGATTAACAATTCAAACAATTAGAACCTAGTTCTAAATCACACCAACACAAAATTCCAATATGATTGAGATCTGGTGACAAATTTGAATACTAAAATCATGAAAATAATAATAGTTTGCAATTTTTGCTGAAAATTAAACATTTTTTTAATGCATGACAAGATTATAGAACTCAATTTGACCTTTCCTTTCGGAATAATGAATTGCTTAAATCAGAATGGCGTTTTGATATGTACAACTAAACATAACAGTTGTATGTTTAAAATATCATTACAAATAAAACAGTTCTTAGCAGAAATACAAAATATTGAATTGAAATGACAATGTTATTCTATTCTTTTTTTAAGTTCATTTTAAATTCAATTTTTTTTTTGGCTCCATTGTTTGCTTTTTCCCCCTTAATACATATACAGATAGAGAAATTGACATAGACCATGGAACTATTGAAATAAGTTCCTTTAGATTTAAGGTGAATAATTATTTGGAGTAAGATTATCACTGAACTTTTGAAAATGATTCTTAAAGGGGTTTTCAAGTGTTTGTACGTTTATCATTCACACATAAAGCGTCCATTTGAACCAGATCCAGACCCAATGACAGCAGACATGGAAGTAGAAAGAGTCACAGAGAACCTATGAGTGTCACCGATACACATACTTAGACTAGAGATCCTCTTTCGAATCCATTTTCATTTTCATTATGAAGTACTTACTCACTTATAATTGATATACTTCCTCATGTGAAAAGTTCATTAGCTGCTACCAATGATTTACTAATACATTGTTTGGAATTCGGGTTTTGTTTTGCGGTTTGGATTGTAAGTACTTGGTTTATTTGTTTCCAATGGACCAAGTATGAACACAGTATTGATAAAAAGAGACATTCCTAAAATACTATGCTAAAAAGCCTGTAATATTGCTTGACATATATTGATATCTACAAAAAGAACGATAAAATATTTTACAAGTTAAATTAAAAACACTTTGGGAATTCATCATATAAATAAATTTTGACAAAATTGACGAGTTACCTTATAATTTGACATATTCAAAGAAACTCACAAAACATTTCACTAATTGGCTATAAAATCAAAACAAAACTGATGGTTTTAAGAGAATTTCTGAAGCCTATTGCTTCAAAATACTTAGAAAGTTAATATGATTCCATGGTTAGGGGTTTTGTATGAGAAATTAACGTTACTATTTAATGTCAATGGTAAGTCTCTCTACACATTAGGATTTCAAAAGTTACTAACTGCCATGCTGTAGTTGGTGTGTGGATGATCAAGAAATTTATCATAAAGAAATTCATTACTCCAATTACTAAAATAATTACATTTAATTAAAATTCAATTAAAATAGTGATATGACCAGCAGTAAATATCTAAGGCTCACGAAGGCTCCTCTTGTATGTCACATATATCACCTGTTATCTATCGACCCATTACAGTTACTTAGGCCAATAATCCCAGTTTCCAAATACAGTTTCTAAGGCCAATAACTCCAATGAAGAATCACCATGCTTAAATTTGTTTACTGATTGATTTCACACATTTACAAAGATGGTTTCATCGAATGATAAAATGGTTGCTAAGGCTTAAAACAGCCATACGATAAAAACAAAGGCCCACAACTCCTGGTTACTTGATGGAGAAGAGTGTAATTGATAAAACATGCTATATAAACACTATATATAGCCTTATATTTAATATAAATTAAGCTGCAGGGACTTGCGATATAGAGGTAATTGTTTATATTGTCATATATCTAACATTTATACCCATATTTGGTATGAAATGTTTTTAAATGTCATATAACCAATGAGAACAGTTTATGCCTTTAATACTGCAAAACAAATATCCATATTCAAATGATCGTTGGTTGGCACTTAAAGAAAAGATAACTCTCACTGCTACATAACCACACGCGGCATCATTCGAACACAATATAACCTTGTTATATATAACTGTGATATAATTGGCACTGTCTCATATCTAAGTCCCTCCGTACTGAATCTTTACTCCAAATATTATAAAGTCTTTGATTTTTTCAACAAATCTTCGGTAAATTTCTGAAATATACAACAATCAAATAAGATAACACCAGAAAACAGCACAAAATTATCAAAAATATGAATTGATTCAAATCAATCAGTAAAATTATTCTATACAATACAACACAGACATACCTTTACAGATACAACAATTATACTATTAATATGTAGTAGAACAAAATAAAAATAAGCATAAACAAGATAATTCCAAATGAAAACTAATGCTATTACGAAATGTTCGCTGACAGAGCAACTGGACCTATGCTATCATATAATTGTATGCCACAGTTTCAAGTAGACCTATACGAAAAGAAGAAAAGACTTACTTGGAGTTCCTGTTGTGATACTTTACAGTCTGATAATGATTCCTGAAATAGACAAAAATAATAAATCATAACTTTAGACATTAATTGAATTCCCAAGTATTTTGATGACAGTAATATATAACCCTAGTATCCTAACTACAATGCAGGCACAACAA